TAAAATATAAGCAAAATGTAGGATATAGGCCCTTTAAAGGCTCCAATTAGACCAGCTTTCAAAATTCAGCTTAAACTACAGTATGGATTAAAAAAAAATCCCTAAAACATGTACAACCCCATGAACCTTGCAGTTTCTTTTTTATTTTTCTTTTATTTCTTTATTCGTAACAGTGGATTTGGGCATCCTCATCTGCTCCGAAGAGAGAAATGAAATGGTCAGCAGGTCAGAGTCAGATCTGCCGCGTTCTCTGTTGTCTTCGCTCTTACTTTTGCGAATCATGAGCTGAGCTGCCCTCAGGGCCTTCTTTTTTCCCGATTATCTTCGCCACTGTGTGGGGATTTGGTTTGGCTTATTTAGAGATTTAGCAGACCAGAGTGCAGCTGTGTTCAGGATCTGAACGGCCCTCGTTCCCACAACCCCAGCGTGAGTATCAGCAGCTACGTCTCAGGTTCATGGGAAAAGTGTGGACCGAAGATTTGACTCATTATGAAAGCCTTTTTCATGCATACAAATGGAGGAGGCTGGTCATGTTTTGAAGTGTGACAATTCCTGATATGCAACTTTACAGTCCCACCCAGCGCTGCAAACAGTTTAGCAAGAAATGTTCAGTGTTTTCCCTCCTAGGTCAAGCGTAGTCAGTCAGCCAAGACATGTTTGGTGTCTGAAGTTTGCATCTTTACTTTTGCACTGGAGCTACAAGGCCAATGACTTAGAGCTTATTTACATCAGTTAGTATTGTGCTAACCGCAGTGGGGAACCCTCAGGGCCTTCTGGGCCTTCGGAGAAGGCCTAATGATTTCTGGGAACAAAAAATGTCTGTTTGTAATTTATAGTTAACTTTTATTTAATAAAGTCATGCTTGTGTTTAAACTGCAACTATTACAGTACTACTTGTGTTTCACTGTTAAGTTTTGGATGGAAAAACAGGTTAAATTCTTGAAATGCCCTGTGGAAAATTGGCCAATCAGGGAGTGTTTTCTCCATGGTATCTAGGTAGATATAGCTAAGCAAGCTCTCCTGTTGGTTAGGGCTTCAGGAATGGAGTAGATTAGCAGCCTTGATTTTAGTTCACTTTTTTCCATTTCAGGATTAATCGACGTGGCAATTGGCCACCCCAGATGCCAACTCTCCAACATCCATAACCCCCCCCCACCCCACCCCCCAACTTGTTTGCACCTTAACACTGCCAACCTGCTGAAACTCCCTGCCACTGATCACCAAAAATGACGGGCAGTTATCGTTTAAAATAATTTATCAAAATGTTGATGCCTCAATTTTATGCCTTATTTTTCTTTTTTTCAGCTTTTCTTTTTGCTGTATTTGAGTTAAATACAGTCAAAAGAAAAGTATAGAGAAAAGATTGACACTAAAAAATTCACAAAGTCTTGATTACAAGAATTACAAGCAATGTTGAGGTAGTTAATGTTAGGTAATAATCACATTTAACAGCTCCAAACTTTTTTTTTTTTATGTGGCAGTCAGTACAATGTAAACGTCTTTTGGATCTCAGCAGCAGATAGCAGCTGGAAAGTGAAACACCTAAATGGTGTTATCTCCAATCTCATTGTGAAGTTAATGTAGGCAAAATTCCTTTAGCAACACATGACTGCAGGCATGATGTGTGTGGGGTGTTATGATGTGACGAGGAAGGAAAATGTGTTTTTTTTAGTTAGATGAGCCATTTAATAACCGGAAGAAGTCTAATGAATCGCATTGAAGACATTTAAAACTATAGTTTGGTGACAAAGCAAATTTACACACTTCACCCTAAAAGCAGTTAATCTGTCTTTTTTATTTAAAAAAAAATGCAGGACATTTTTCAGTGTGATTTGGATGCTTTAAACTTGAAGATAATGCTGTGCAATTGTGAGCTTTTATCTAAACAGCAGATCAAATCACTTCTTTAATGCTGAAAGGAGACAGATACAAACATGATATATGGTTTCTGTTACAAACTGAGGTGATTTTAAATGGTTCAGATGTCTTTACAGTGGTGGTGATGGGAACCAGACGTCACCATGACCACAACACAAATATAGCCAGTTTATTTACTATCCAAAACCACCAGTGAACCTACACGAGTCTTCTGAGTTTATATGGAATGTTAGAGCGATAAAATAGTCATAAATCCGAAAAAACAAGTTTTATTTTTGAACTGTTTTGCCTTACAACACCCTGCGTGTATCCCTCCACCATGTATAAACAAAAAAAATGCATTTTAAGCCAAAACCTTCTCAAAACTATCATAAAACAATGTCTCATACATCAGGCAGTGAATTCATAACCATTGCATCTAATAACTTTCTGTGAGAGGCATGAAACTCTTCAGACATCTGGTTCCTATCACCACCACTGTTGCTGGTGACATTCCATGTAAATAAAAAAAATGTAAAATCATTTTGTTTTTGCTCTTATTTGGGTTGAATATAGTCAAAAGAAAAAAATCCTAGACAAAAATTCACAAAGTCCTGATTACAATAACCACACCTCAGTAATAATTATGTTATTAATGTTAAATAACAACCACATTTAATTGTGGCAGTCAGTATAATGTCCAGTATAATGTCCAGATGTCCAGTCTTTTGGATCACAACAGCAGATAGCAGTTGGAAAGTGAAGCATCTAAAAGGTGTTATCTCCAAGCTCATCGTGAAGTTAATGTAAGCAAAATTCCTTTAGCAACACATGACTGCAGCCCTGGTGTGTCCCTCTGCTGGAATTCCGCGCTGAACGAGCTCAGCTGAAGCTGGAGGGAGGGGTGATATGATATGACTGTTAGGAATGTGTGCAAAACAGAGTTCCACTGAGGGGAAAGGCCTCAGGCTGGAATTCTGCCTCTGAATTGCCACCTTGTGGACAGAGGAGGGACTGCAGAGGGGATATTTCAGCCATGAACTCTTCAACTTCTTTCCCTTGGATCTCTTTAGAAATCAGTACTTCACTTAAAGGGCAATTCCACTGATTTTTTCAAAAATTCTACATGATTAAAATGGTTGAGTTGTAAACAAAGACGTTAAGAGTGGTTTGGTGTGAAACGCTCTGTTCTAGAGAAACTTACAGTCAGAACTGTTCACAGTGGTGGTGATAGGAACCAGACGTCCACCTCTAAAAGCCCCCTCACTGAAAGTTACTACATGAGATGGTTATGAATTCACTGCCTGATGCCTGATTGTTTTGAGAAGGTTTTGGCCTGAGATGTATTTTTTAAATCAATTCATGGTGGAGGGATACGTGCAGCGTACATGCCGACTATGGGCCAACTATCAGCCCTTTAAAGAGAAATTCTGCATAATTTAATCATTGAGGTGTAAACAGAGTCATTCACAGTGGTTTGATGTTGCACGAAAACTGAGGTTTCTTTACAGTGGTGGTGATGGGAACCAGGGGTCACCATGACTACAACACAAATATAGCCATTTTATTTACTATTCAAAACCACCAGTGAACCTACACGAGTCTTCTGAGTTTATATGGAATGTTAGAGCGATAAAATAGTCATAAATCCGAAAAAACAAGTTTTATTTTTGGACTGTTTTGCCTTACGACACCCTGCATGTATCCCTCCACCATGTATAAATAAAAAAAAATGCATTTTAAGCCAAAACCTTCTCAAAACTATCATAAAACAATGTCTCATACATCAGGCAGTGAATTCATAACCATTGCATGTAATAACTTTCTGTGAGAGGCATGAAACTCTTCAGATGTCTGGTTCCTATCACCACCACTGTAAATCTAGTTTCTCTGTAATGGTACATTTCTCATCAAACTTCCCTGAATGTTTTGGTTATGCAGATATTTTGAAAAAAAGCAAATGTATTCCCCTTTAAAATAAGAGTCTCTGAAAGATACTTGTTTAACACTTTGTTTAACCCTTTCAAATCCCATGATTATTACAAGCCTAAGGCTTATTGCTAGTAACCACCTGGAATGCAATGCAAACTGGTTGATTTATTCTTATGGCCTAACTGTGTAAGAGAGGTTTTGCCATTTAAGGGGTCCATGTAATTAATAATTTGCAGGTTTTTCCTATAATATCATTGACAAATGACTATTTTCAATTAAAATGCAATGAAAAAGTACAATTTTAGTGCTTGTAACATGATTGTCATCCATGTTAAGGACCCACAAGAGTCTTGCGTGATGTTGTACCATGACTAGAAGCTGATTCAGATGTTCTGGTTTGCACCAGCAGTTTAAACAAACAGCAACAGTTGTTTTTTTCCATAGGCCTTTGTGTGAGGAGCGACCGGACCAAAGCTTTTTTTTTTAAAAACAATGTTTTTGATGACACCTAGCTATGTAATCTCGCATGTAGCGCCACAAATGGGCCCCTCGTACATTTATGAAGTGATGTTAGGTCATGAAACTATAGGCAACAAAGTGTCTTCCCGCCAAACCTAAAGCCATTTTGTAAAGTGATCATCATTTTAGGGGATGTTGACAAGGTTCATGGAAGGTAAGTGGCGCCATTATGCTAGAATGACACTGTGCCCATTTTCAAATGGGCCCTCATCACACGCCATACACGTTTTTACTGCCTGGGCCTGGAGGGTGTCTTTAAAGCCTCATTACGACCCACTTTCACGGCGCACGGCAATAAAAACCCCCATCGTTAGAACAATGTCACCTGTCGAATTAAGGAAAACAGGAAAACGGATCTTTCAAAAAAGGCAAAACGGATTGTATTTTTTTGCAAAGATAAACAAAGAAGATATGACACTGTGGAGGAGATCCCACCCAGTGGACGTGTGGATGTTCCACTCGGGTGGGTGTTATCTTTCATTAGCAAAAACAGCCTCATTTAGAGAGTCATGGAAAACAAGGTTGCACGTCAACAGTATGGCCAATCCATATAAAAAGAATGAATGGACGCTGTGGGATCTGAGGAGTACGGCCAAGTAAAGTCAAGTAAAGACACCCAGAACCAGCGGACAGGTTACAGGACAAGTGGGCAGCTCTCAGGCTTGGCAGGTTCAGGACCGCTGTCTCCAGGTATGAAGGCCCTGCTGTTGGCATTGCTGTTGGTATGCACGCTGTGTCCAGACACGGCCCGGTCCCAGAACGCCGTCCGGCTGTGCGGCCGCGAGTTCCTGAGGGCCGTCGTCTACACCTGCGGAGGGTCCAGGTGGAGGAGGGTCCCGTCCGAGCTTTCGGCAGAGGGTCAGTAATCATCAACTGAGAACTACGCTGTACCTGTAGTTTCAAGTTAACATGGGGAACACATCCACTTTCTGTGTATGTTTCTGTGTAGAATCATGAACACTTAAAGAACCCTTTGCATGATTGAAGGGTTCTTTGCATCGTGAAAACGTTCTTTAGATTGATGGTGAATGTACTGTAGATGGTTCTATATAGAAACTTTTTGAAAAGGGTTCTCCTACTGCTAAAAAGTCAAGCTTGTAACAATAGAAGAACACATTTTGGTGCTACATAGAACCCTTCCCAAACTTGTGCCAAAAAGGGTCTATATAGAACCATCTGCAGCACATTCTCAATCAGTCTAAAGAACCCTTTCGCGATGCAAAGAACCCTTTAGTCATGCAAGGTGTTCCTTGAGTGTTCACAGTTCTATTTAGAACGATTTTCTTTACTAAAGAACCCTTGAAGAACCATTTTTTTAAGTGTGTAGATTACCTGTGTCTAGTTGCAGGCCTGGGCAGATTGGTGAAGAACTAAAGCCCCTCCAGGACTGGAGCGGGACACCCCGGCTTAGAAAGTCAGATGCAATCACTACACTGTAAAACACTGCTATAAATTTGCAGCATATATTTTACAGTAAAATACTAGTTTGTTATTTTACAGGATCATACTGTAAAAGCTTAGGCATTTAGAGCTGTGCATTGGTTTACGGTAACGTGCTAGACAATGCAGTTTACAGTAATTTACTGGAAGTAGAGTTGCTAGTAAAATACTGTAAATTTACAGTATACCATTGTAAATTTAAATATACAGCAAAATACTGTAAAATATTTACCTTGTATACACAGTATTTTAGTGGCAACTCTGCTGCTGGTAAATTACTGTAAATTTTATCATAGATTTTTAACACAATAATGGGTCAAAACACAAAGCTAACAAACCTAGGCCAGGTCCACCTCCCCTGTTGGTCATAATACAGTCATATCAGCTGGAATACCCTCAGTCAAATTGCATATAAGTGGGTTAACACATCTACAGGGAACAAACCTGGCATTTTCTGCAGATTTTATTGCACAATTTCTATTAATTTGCTGAGTTTATTGGATACATTGGAAAATAATAAGAGAGAAAATATAAAATGTGCCATAACTTTTGCACAGGCCACATTTTATGTTTTATTTTCCGCCCAGTATGTTAGATTCAGCATATAGACAGTAATTATGCATTACAGTGTGGAAGAGTGTTAAGAACAACGTGCTATCTTATTTTCACTTGTAATTTGACCAGGGGTGCAACAACTTTTGCAAACAGCTGGACTGTACGTTGCAGTTAAAGTAAGCCCATGCAGCTGTACAAGCTTAAAGAAGTAATATTGCCAAAAAAATCTTGGTTAAAATTGATTAATTTGCTCCTTTACTGTTCGCTGGAGCTACGAGGCTAATATAGCTAACAGTTAATGAGAGCCTATATCCACAAATTAGCATCACGCTAACTGAATCCTCAAACACGCTCCTCAAACCATGTCAGGTTGTTCGGGAATCTGTATTAAACTTGATTATGTGGTTTCTGACACTGTATGACACACTGTCATCAATTAACATGGACAAAAGTACATTAGCATAGCTAAAAACACTAGCGGCCATCTTGAACCCTGAACTGTCATTTTCATAGCTTGTCGTATATTAATAGCATGTCATATAGTTTCAGGAAAAAAAAGTCTATTTGACATTAATTAAAGGGGAATTCCACCAAAATTTTCAAAAATATCTGAATAACTCAGTGGTTGAGATGTAAACAGAGTCATTCAGAGTAGGTTTGGTGTGAAATAGTTGGTTGTAGAGACTCAGATGTCTTTACAGTGGTGGTGATAGGAACCAGACGTCACCATAACTACAACACAAATATAGCCATTTTATTTACTGTCCAGAACCACCAGTGAACCTACACGAGTCGTCTGAGGTTTATATGTGGAATGTTGATAATGGAAAAATAGTTGTGAATCTGAAATAAGATTTTCTTTGGGGACTATTTGGCCTCACAACACCCTGCATATACACCTCCGCCATGAATGGATTAAAATAAATGGATTCAAATGTATTTTAAGCATCAACTTTACCACAAAACTATCATATAACAGCGTCTCAGACGTCAGGCAGGGAATTCATAACCACTTCATGTAGTAACTGTCTGTGAGGGAGCTTTTAGAGGTGGACGTCTGGTTCCTATCACCACCACTGTGTACAGTTCTGACTCGGTTAGCTTCTCTAGAACAGAGCGTTTCACACCAAACCACTCTGAACGACTATTTACGTCTCAACCGTTTAATTATGTCGAATCTCTGAAAGAACAGTGAATTTCCAACTCAACACCGACTGAGGCGAGTTTGAGATGATTTAGACATACAGTCTACGCTATGCTAACTGACGTTATGTACGTAGCTACTTCTTAGCTACTTACATTAGCCTCGTTTCTCGAGCATATAAGCAAACTTCAGACACTTAACATGTCTTAGCTGATCAGCTATATTTTAAAGTAAGTGGAAAATAGTGTTGACAGTATTTTCTCAAGGACAACAGTGAGCAAAGTAATCTGCATTTTACTTTTTCAGCTGTGTTTTACTAATTAGCAATCAGTTGCTGATTCTTTTTTGTTTTTACTTCCATTACATGTTGCTGATGTCATCTTTACTCTTTGCAACCGGTCACTTCTCTCATTTTGGAGCTTTAGAATTGTATTTTGGACCTAATGATCTTTAAACAAACATTAGTTCCTATGCTAGATGTACCTATAAGGACTACCACTGCAGTTCTATAAGGTATTCTGTACTTTGACTCACTACTTGGACTTAATACTCAAGTTGTTTTTGGAGAGAGATTTCTATAGAAGAAAGAATGCTTTTACTGGAGTGTGGATTCAAAAATTTGACTTTAAGCTGGCTGCTACTACTGTTTTTTGGTACACAACATGCCACGGACCACGTTATACATCTTAACGTTTTAACGTCACACGCACAGCCTCAAAGAGAAGGTCTGGCTCGATGTTTAGGCCTCAAATGCAAAACCAACATTATACTGATGATTTGTTGACAACAGTAGACAATTCACTCACATCCTTGGAAAACGGTCCTTCACCAAGTTGTTCTCTTTGAATTCTCTTTCAATCATCAGATTCATCTGCTTGGGGAAGGGGTCCAAAGCCCACAGCCCCTGCTACAAAATGTTCTTCCTCAGGTTACGTGCAATTACACAATTCCACCACAGAGGTCTCCAAACCCCCAAACCCTACACAATGTAGTTTTAATAGCTTTAACCTCTTCAACTCCTTGAGACCACCGGTGGTTCCAAAACGCACTTCATCATATTCTTCATAACTTTCATATTTCATAAGCTACATTCTAAAGGTGGGGGTCGTATGAGAGCTGTAACTGTCTTCTTTCCAGTCAAATAGATGGGTGATGTAATTTTAAACCCAACTAATAAAAGAAGCTGAACTCACAATTTTTTTTCTACTGAAAGTCGACACATTTTTCCACAAATCTGGGCTATAAACTATAAACAGATGGCGTCTCTTCAGTGATCTGCTCTGTAAAAATTACTTTTAGAAAATAATACAAAGAGCATCTAAGATTTTTGGCTTTCTGCAGTAAATTGTGAGCAGATATAGCAATATGTGTGATCATAAAACACATGTTCTGTTAATTTAAGGGGAGCTTTTACAAAAAAATAATTAATAAATAAAATAAAAATGTACATTTATTTCATGCAGTTACTGAATAATTTCCCTTACGATATGCTCATGTAAATTCAGATGGACAAACCAAAATATACCCTGGAGAATAGGAACATGCTGTGTTGTGTTTAGGTGGCTGAACAACACCTTTAAAAGGCTGCAACAAAAGTGCATTTAGACGCTTTAATTCAGACATAAACTTTTTGTTACAGATACTGATCCGGATGCCGGACAGCCGTCGGAGGTCACCATAGAAACGGAGCGACTCAGGAGGAGTCTGGACACGGTGCTGCCGGCGGTGTGCTGCAATGTGGGCTGCCGAAAAAACGACCTGGCTCTCATGTGCTGAAGAGGGAAACGGAAATAACGTCCTGCAAATATGAAAGACTCAGTGATGTTCAGACGTTGTAATGAAAGAAAAACACTGTCCTTTCACTGTGCTGCTGTGAAGCGAACATGCTGTCACTAGTTTCATTTGAACGATAAAACCAAAGGCTTTTACTTGTCCAGGGAAATTATTGATACAGAATTTGGATTTTTTTTATTATTATTTAATGAAATGTATGTGTAAAAAAGGAGCTGTATTATAATACTCATATACAAATACAAAGGAGGCTCAAATAGAATCTGCTTTTAATTCAAAAGAAGAAAGAAACCATATGGCATATGATTGTCAGATTTATTAGAAACATTTCTCTCATTTCCTAAAATAAAGGTTTTTAAAATGTATGAAGCTCTAACCCATTAAATGTGTTGGGACAAAAATATGCATACATTTTGTCTTTGTAATATGGACAAAATTGTGTTAGCTGCATATAAAAATAACTGGACATCCAAATCCCTTTATCTCATGAAAAAGAAGTATTTTAAATATTTTAAGTTGCCCTAAATTACATTTTACCCTCATAATAATACCACTTTTCAGAGGTGCACATTATTTCACCCAACAAACTACAGCTCAGCCTACTAAGTTTGCAAAAATAAAAGGTGATAAATAAAGTTTCTACAATGTAAGTAATAATATTGAACATTGAACCTTTCTGCTTTTAAAGACTTTTTTGCTATCATAGGGTGTTTTCCCACTGGAACCTTTGGAACCAGAAAACTGGAACTGAATTTGAATTTTTAGAGGGGAGAACTGCCACTCAGTAATGTGTTTTGGATTTGTCAAACGCTAGGGGGCGCTCCTGAGCGAGTCCAAAAGGAGTTAATGGGTTAATATGGTGCAGCAGGAATGCATCAATTTCCTGAACACAGAACAGCATAGAACATTTTATCACTGCTGTTATATTTTTCAACGCTTTTGAATTCCAGGTATAGAAATTTATAACGGCGCCTCATATATGTTCTCTCAGCCAATGAGCTGCTCCTCTCCCCAACCAATCAGCACTCAGTAGCAGTAATGTTAGCCAATCTGCACTCAGTAGCAATAATACTAATCAACCAGTACTCAGTAGCAGTAATGTTAACCAATCAGCACTCAGTAGCAGTAATGTCAGCCAATCTGTACTCAGTAGCAGTGATACTAATCAATCAGCACTTAGTAGTAGTAATACTAATCAATCAGAACTTAGTAGCAGTAATGCTAACCAATCAACACTCAGCAGCAGTACTGCTAGCCAATCAGCACTCAGTAGCAGTAATTGGGGTGTTTCACGGTCATGTTTTTGATATAATGGGAGAAGCAGGACGTGGCCAGGCTCCTCATTATAAAGTATTTCGTTGTTAGGAGTTCTTTAACTTGACCTAAGCTAGTTAGGAAACTAACGCTACTGCTCTTAGCACTTATGCTAGCTCTTTTGCTCAGATTTTCACAACAGAGCAAAACTGAAGCTTTGTGTGATTCGACACCTGATTCTGGGTAAATGTAGACCGATTGTAAATGCGCAGAACAGTGCAGCAATGCTATATTATTTCATATCAGGCAAGCTAACCAGCAAGCAAAGTAGCTGGCTAGCCAAACCACATGTTTTAGAGTGACGTTAAATGACAAAAGACAGCTGAACAGTTCATCATGGTTATTTTGATGGTCAGTTCTCTTCACCTCTCAGGCAGGTGGACAATGAACAAGGCTGGTTCCCTTTCTTGGTTTTTAACGTACAGTAGAAAAACACCCATCATCACCTAACTCATAAAACATGAATCTAAACTGGAGTAACATGATTCTTGTCTTGCTTCTTCAAAGTTACACTGATTTTTAGCTATTTGTGAGGAGGGTAAATGATAAAAATGGCACAGGCTGCGTCCAAAACCGCACACTACCATGCTAAAATTCTGTACTCCACCAGTCCACAGTCCATTCATTAGTATGTGTAGTCTAACCAGGCCTGGACGATCGGGTTATTGGCCCTTGGGCAGAAATCTCTGGTGGGCCTCTACCTGACAACCCTGTTTTGTGGAGGTTAGTGCATTTTTGCAATATAACTGCAGATTACATGAGGGCTGTGCAACACTATGATGGTAGCACATACTAACCGCCGTGTAGGGCATGTCACCACTTGACATAAGCCAATAGCAAGAGTACTTACACATTAACGAGAGCACAGGTTAACACAAACCCAACAACCAGCGCAGCACTTTCCTATTAAGCGTGTCTGCTCTTAACAAGCAAAACATTTACCCCAGTGAAGATGGCATCAATTAAAATGGGACAGATGAAATGTACATAACTTAGCATCTAACTTATACACCCAAACTGTCAAGAGTAACCGCCTAGGTAAAGCATACTGCCGCGGTGGGTGTGGAAAATTTTTTCCATTGGAAATTGGCTCTGTCGAAGTATCACACTGCAAAAAATGCTATCTTAGTAAGTGAAAACATCTTAGATGTAGTTAATGTATATATTGTGTATATTATATTGTATATTTCACTTGTTTCTAGACATTTTTTATTGTTTTAAGTTTTATCTAGCCAGATTGTCTTATTCCACTGGCAGATCGTTCTACTTGTTTTGAGAAATAATGCAGATAATTTTGTTTAATTCAATAAATAATGTTTAAAACAAGTAAAATGATCTATACTTTCCTAAGATATAATTACATAAAACAAGTAAAAAATGTCTACAAATAAGAGAAACAATCTTAGAATATTCTTACAACAGTCTTAAAATGAGAAATATTAGATATATTGACTAGTTTTATCACTTAATATCATCTTTCGCAGCGCAGGTCTTGCTTTTACAGATGCCCCGGTGTGTCTTTTCAATACATGAAGCTTCAAATGTTAGCTCCAGTGAATCTTGACCTTGAATCTGAATCTGAATCTTGAATCTGAAACTTGACCGTAATGGCGCGTCATGTAACAGTTGCTAAGCACTGATTGGAGGAGAACATGAAGTGGATGTTGAAGAAAGATGTGGAGAGCATCCAGATTAGGATCGGCTGTAACACCATTAGGCAAAACAGCTAGTAAGATTTTCTCATAATTGCCCACTTGGCCATAAAACCCACTGGATGATCCGGGCCTGACTATAGCAGTCTGCGGTTTTGGACACAGCCATGCTCTTTATCAAAGCCCACATTATTAGGGCCTACATGTCAGCAGTGCTCTTTAAGAAACTAGTAAGAAGGTTTCACCCCTCATGGCCCAACTGATAATCTTTAAAGGGCTTATATATTGGAAAACCCCATAATTTTCCTTAATTTTAAAATTTAAGAGTTTGATAGCATTTAAACATTTAAAGTTTGAAAACATATATCAGTGTTCACACAGGACATATATAGAAAGCAAGCAGCCCGTTTTCAGTCCATCATGGTTGTGATGTCACAAACATGAGCCCATTTACTCATGAACATCCAGCCTACAACCCTTTAGCCCCACCCATTCACGCTGAAGTGTTTCAGCCTGGACTGCTTTGTGAATAAGGGCAGCCAATCAAAACTGAGGTCATTTACATATATCAGTCTTAAAGGCATAGCCTTTTGAAAAATGGTCACGTACATAAAGCTCTAAAAATGTTATAAGTGGACCTAACTTAAAAGAAATTCGTTTTAAAGGCCCCAAACAGCCCAAATGTAAAATGGGGCCCCTTTAAAGACCTCTCACTCCTTAGAGAATCTCCAGCCCGCTGAATGTTGTGCGGATACGAACGTTATGATGCTCACAGGCTCGACGTGTTGAGCATCGAGCCAAGAACCATCATTCGAAATAGACGCCATAGACGTTAGCGATGGCGAAGAGCGAGCTGTTTTTGAAGGTGTGAGAGGAAAAGGTGTCGTTGGCTGCGTCCCACAGGCACCGGCTCCCCATGCGCATGTTCTGACCCGTCAGCTGACCGATGCTGATCACCACTATGATCTTGTAGCGAGGGATCATCATGTCTTTCACTCGAGCCTTCACCACCTAATAACAGCAAAACAAGTAGAGCTTCATTAGCAGCAGAGTCAGAGGTGATGATTCCAGAACTTTCCCTCAAATCCCAAATACTGAGACATGTCTGGTGTCTGAAGCTTGATTCTTTAATGTCGCATTGGAGCTCAATTAACATGATACAAATCACATGCTAAAATCATTACACACCTGTCTAAAACTGTGTCAAATAATAGACTTGATTATGTATTTTCCGACATTGTTATCTATGAACATGGACAAAAGCATGTAGCATAGCTAAGCCTTAAATTTGCCTTAAATTTGTCTGTGTAATTTTGGCTGCATTCGCATTGCCAGGCTGAAGTGACACAAATCCGATTTTTTGCCCTAACGTGACTAAAATCTGAGTTTTCAGAGCTGTGTGGACACAAATCTGATCTGTTCAAATCCGATCTAAGCTACTTTCATATGTGGTCCTAGATCAGATACATATCCGATTCGTGGCCATGTGACCTTAATGTGATGCTCAGATCAGAATTCATGTGCTTTTTTTCCACTGCGTGTGCGCCATCAATCAGCGTTACCATGGCAGCAGCGCCGAACAGAAGTTAAAGCCTGTAAACGGTGGAAAAGCAGCTCATCTCACCTTTTTCTCCTTCGTCTCGCTCTAATAATGAAGCTGAGAGCTGATCAGAGTTAATTATCTTCTCAGCGAAGCTCGTTCTGCTCGTTAGTTTGTGCTGATGATGAACGTGATTCATTCACGTGACGTTACTGAGTAGGATGTGATCATGCGGGCCACGTGAGGACGCCGGTTCGTTCACATGAATGACAGATTTGAATCACTTACCTAAACCAGTGTGAACCATCGTGTCAGAGAGATCGGATTTAAGCAATGAGGCTTGTAATGTGAACGTAGATATTGTCTCAAGAAGCAACCTTTTGAGACCAAATGTGACTGATCAACTACATTTGGAGTAAGGAAGAACAGTGTAAATATGTGTGTTTGCCTAAGAGTCACTCCAATGAAAAGCAGAACCACTGCACCTCTGATATAGTTTTGGTCATCTGTCTGCACAGCTCTGCCTCATACTTCTCCTCCTGCAGGTAGCTGGCCAGCACGTCCTTCAGGATCTCCTTCACCGTCAGCACAGGAAAGCGCTTTGTGGGGCCTTCACAAGCGTCCAAGGCATAAAGAAACAGAAAGAAAAGAAAGAGATGGGTGAAGCTCAAAGCTAAGGTTTTGCAATATGTACTAAATACACATACACTAAGTATACAGACACCCCCCACTATAATTACTGAGTTCAGGTGTTTCAGGCATACCCATTGCTAACAGGGGTATAGCCCATAGCCATGCAATCTTCATAGACAAACACTGGCAGTAGAATGGCAGAGCTCAGTGACTTTAAACACGCCACCTTTCCCACAAGTCAGTTCTTGAAATTTCCGCCCTGCTAGATCTGCCAGTCAACTGTAAGTGCTATTATTGTGAAATGGAAGCGCCTGGGAGCAACAACAGCTCAGCCACTATGCAAACTCACAGACTGCTGACTTGTGTAGCAAGTAAAATCCCCCCATCTTCTGTTGCATCACTCACTGCAGAGCTCCAAACTGCCTCTGAAAGCAACAGCAGCACAAGAACTGTGCATCGTGAGCTCAATGAAATTGGTTTCCATGGCCGAACAGCTGCACCCAAGCCTAAGATCACTATGCGCAATACCAAGCGTCGGCTGGAGTGGTGTAAACCGCTGCCACTGGACTCTGGAGCAGAGGAAATGTGTTCTCTGGAGTGATGAATCACGCCTTACTATGTGAAAGTCTGATGGGTGAATCAGGGTTTGGCGGATGCCCGGAGAATGACACCTACCGGAATGCATTGTGCCAACAGTAAAGTTTGGTGGAGGAGGGATAATGAGCTGGGGCTGTTTTTCAGGGTTTGGGCCCCTTAATTCCAGTGAAGGGAGATGTTAATGCTAAAGCATTAGACATTTTAGACAATTATATGCTTCCAGCTTTGTGGCAGCAGTTTGTTGAAGACCCTTTCCTGTTCCAGCATGACTGAGCCCCTGTGCACAAAGCGAGCTCCATAAAGACATGGTTTGATGAGTTGGATGTGGAACTCCAGTGGCCCTCACAGAGCCCTGACTGAACACCTTTGGGATAAACTGGAACGTTAATTGTGCACCAGACTTCTCATCCTCATCAACACACATCAGCCTGATCTCACAAATGCTCTTCTGACTGAACAGGCGCAGATTCCCACAGACACACTCCAAAATCTGGTGGAAAGCTTCCCAGAGGAGTGCAGGCTGTTATAGCTGCAAAGTGGGGGCCACCTACATATTAATGCCTATGGTTTTGGAATGGGATGACCAACAAGCTCATACACGATTACTTGAGCTGTAACCTAAAAGTGACCTAAATCACCATCTCCCTCAGGCCACATACAGTGTCTATTTGTCTAGCCTTTCACCTAAATACACCACAGGCAAGTCATAGACATTCACAGCAAAAGGAAATGGGCCTCACCAAGCTGATAGGTGTTCTCCATCTGCACTGTGGGTCGGGGGTTATCATCATGGTGACCAGGCTCATCGATATATGACACAGTACTGATGGAGCTATAGAGAGAAACCACAGACACAGGAAACTGTGGCTTTAATTCACGTTTATATCACAACACACCATCTCAGTGACGTGCTTGAAGCAGGAAAATGCAACTTAGTATAGCAGGCAACATTTTCTACAGATGCAGCAACAGCTTTAATACTCTTCCTTATATATATATATATATATATATATATATATATTCCTATACATTCTATATCGACAAAAGTATAGGGACCCACCTCTTAATCATTGAATTCAGGTGTTCCATTCAGTCTCATTGTCACAGGTATATAAAATCAAGCACCTAGTCATGCAGCCTGCCTTTACACACATTAGTGAAAGAATGGGTCGTTCTAAAAAGCTCACTGAATTCGATTGTGGTGCTGTAATAGATGCCACTGTTGCAACAAATCAGTTCACGAAATTTCCTCCCTCCTAGATGTTCCATGATCAACTGTGAATGGTATTACTGAAAAGTGGGATCGTTTAGGAACGACAGCAACTCAACCATGAAGTGTCAGACCACATAAAATTACAGAGCGGGTCATCGAGTGCTGAGGAACACAGAGCATAAAAGTTGCCAATGCTCTGCTGATCAATAACTGCAGAGTTCCAAACCTCCTCTGGCAACATCAGCACAAAAACTGTGGAGCTTCATGGCTGCGCAGCTGCATGCAAGCTTACATCACCAAGCACAGTGCCAAGCGTCGGACGGAGTGGTGTAAAGCGCCACCACTGGACTCTGGAGCAGAGGAAATGTATTCTGTAGAGTGATGAATCAGCTTCTCTATCTGTCAGTCTGATGGACGAGTCTGGGTTTGGCGAATGCCAGGAGAACGTTACCTGCCTGACTGCACTGTGCCAGCTGTAAAGTTTGGTGGAGGAGGGATGATGATATGGGGTTGTTTTTCAGGGGTTGTTCTAGAACCCTTAGATCCAGTGAAGGGAAATCTTAATGATTCAGCACCAAGACATTCTGGACAATTGTATACTTCCAACTTTGTGTGAACAGTTTGGGGAAGAACCTTTTGTGTTCCAGCATGACTGAGCCCCAGTGCACAAAGCAGCTCCATAAAGGCCTGACTGGGTGAGTTTGGTGTGGAAGAACTTGACTGGCCCTCACAGAGCCCTGACCTTAACCCCATTGAACATCTTTGGGATGAACTAGAACAGAGATTGTGAGCCAGGCCCTCTCGTCCAACATCAGTGTCTGACCTCACAGATGCTCTTCTGGATGAATGGGCAGAAATTCCCACAGACACACTGCAAAATCTGTAGAAAGCTTCCCAGAAGAGTGGAAGCTGTTAGAGCTGCAAAGGGGGACCAACTCCATATTAATGCCTATGGATTTAGAATGGGATTCATAAAAGCTCCTGTAGGTGTCCCAATATTTTTGTCCATATGGTGTATACATACATACATACATACATACAAATCTATAGTGCAACCAAGTTATTAAAAAAAGACAGAAATGAAGAAGAAAAATCTGAAAAGAGAAACACAGTTCTACACTCTTAAAAAAGATGGCTCTTTAAGAGTTCTTTAGTAACAAAAATGGTTCTATTTAGAACCACGAGTTCTATATAGAACCATTTACATGCCTAAAAGGTTCTTTGCATGGTGGACTGGTTCTGTAGACTGATGGAGAATGTGTTGTATATAGTCCTATATAGAACCGTGTTGAAAATGGTTCTATATGGGACCAAAAAGGGTTCTTCTACTGTTACTTCACATCATCACAATAGAAGAACCATTTCTGATGCAATACAGAACCATTTTCCAAAAGGGTTCCACATAGAACCATATACAAAATATTTCAGCATGCAAATGGTTCTATATAGAACCCATTATCTAAAGAAAACTACCCCCCATCCTAATGAACCCCTGAAGAACCAATTTTTAAACAGTGTACCCTAAAATTTATGGAAAATAACATTTTTTTAATAATAAATCTAGAGTGAGAAGAACTTACTCCTTGGTTTTCCCAACCGGCTCCCTGGCCCTGACCTCATGGCTGCCCAGAGAGGACACGCTCCCTCTCTTCTTCAGCAAGCGGGCAGCTTTCTCTTTAGCCAAGTCCGACATCTTCCTCACAACACAAACTGCAGGTAACTAGTTCAAAACAACTGCATTAAAACGGCCCTACACTGCTCCAAATGCACTTAACGGCTATTAAACAGCCCAAAAACCACTCACAGCGTTTTAAACACAGGCTTTACTTTCTAATCTCGATGATAACTGACTATTAAGGCAAATCGACTATAAACCAAAGAACTGAGGTAAAACAGACAGACATGGTGTAAAACTGACTCTACAGCACAACGAGCCTGTGTTGTTGCGTCGTGTTGCCCTGGCAACGGTGGTAGAAGGGGGAGGGGCGAGAGCAGTATGCAAATGTAAGGGTAGAAGTCTGCGCTAAGATTGGTTAGTTTTACCCCACTTCCCGCGCCAGGATTGGCTAGTAAGACCCCACCCACCCACCCACCCACCCGGTACGAGTGGATCAGACACAGCAGTGCTGCTGGAGTTTTTAAACACTGTGTCCACTCACTGTCCACTCTATTAGACACTCCTACCTTGTCAGTCCACCTTGTAGATGTAAAGTCAGAGACGATAGCTCATCTGCTGCTGCACAGTTTGTGTTGGTCATTCTCTCGTCCTTTATCAGTGGTCACAGGACGCTGTTGGCTGGATATTTTTGGTTGGTGGACTATTCTCAATCCAGCAGTGACACTAAGGTGTTTAAAAACTCCAGCAGCACTGCTGTGTCTGATCCACTCAGACCAGCGCAACACACACTAACACACCACCACCATGTCAGTGTTACTGCAGTGCTGAGAATGATCCACCACCCAAATAGTACCTGCTCTGTGAGGATCCATGGGGGTCCTGACCATTGAAGAACAGGGTAACAAAGTATGCAGAGAAACAGAGGGACTACAGTCTGTAACTGTAGAACTACAGAGTGTACCTATATAGTAAGTTGAGCTGATAAAATGGACAATGAGCATAGAAACAAGGAAGAGGTCATAATGTTATGCCTGATCGATGTATGTAATGTTACACGTGTATGTTTGTATATGTTGATGTATAGCTGAAATTTATTTCCCCTATTTGAAAATGGACGATTTCAAATAAGTCCGCTTATGTGTCGCATATATGTTCATATATAGTAAGTTGGATATAGTGGAAAAACAGTTCAGCTAATATACATCATATATTTGAAATCTTTATATCTCCATATATCAGACATGCCGTACGGTCAGTCTTCTTTTGCAAAGAATTATCCATAAGAGTCCAGGCCAGGGCTATCAAAGCCCTTGTCAGAATACAGGTGGGATTTTGTCAGATTACAGGTGGAAAATGGTGACTGTACAATTCAGTCCATAAAGCTGCTTAAAATCTGCTTCATATTTAAGTGAATTTCCAGATTTTTACATAATTTCTACATAATTCAGTCAGTAAGATGTAAACGAAGGCAGTCAGAGTGATCTGACGTGAATGATTCATTGCAGAGAAACTTAGACTCCGATTTCTCCACAGTGGTGGTGATAGGAACCAGACGTCTGAAGTGTTTAACGTCTCCAAAAATGACTTCAGTTAGTTATTACGTGAAATGGTCGTGAACACACTGCCTGATGTCTGAGACACTGTTTTATGAAAGTTTTGAAAAGGTTCTGGCAGATTTTTTAATTCATTCATGGTGCATGCAAAGGTGTTGTAAGGCAAAATAGTCCCCCACCCCTCCCAAAAAGTTAGTACTTCACCATCATCACCTGGGTTCAATTGTGTTTTCGGAGAGGAAATAAAACTATATTTGTGCTGTAGACATCGTGACCCCTGGGTTCTATCACCACCACTCAGTCAGCAAGTTTACATTATAGTTGGCTACAATCAATAATTTCACAGTGGAGTCCTTAAACAGAGCCAATGTAGTGATGGCATTGAACAGACAGGCAAACTTACAAACCATGACGATAAACTCAAAGACAAGTGCTTTATGTTTGGGATTTTTTTTTATTTTGTGTTGATACATTACATAATTTTCCACTTTTGATATACCTATCATTTTTCAATCTTTATATTGTCTTAAAACCTGGGAAGGACATATCCTACACATGAAATGTTTGCATATTCCGTTTTCTCTGTGATGAACACGATGCAATTTAACCAGCCGACAAATACAAGTATTAACTCTCACGCATGGAGGAAACCTCTGGGATGAAAACTTAACGGACACAGGACGTTTCTGCGGAATGGTACGCACATGACTTTACCGGCACGGATCGTCCACAAGGAAAAACTTGTTAAAAGTCCCTTTTCAGGTCAAATAAGGCCTACAAAAACATCCAAGTCCACTCAATTCATGACAGCCGTTGTATAGCATACAGTTCCCCAACAACCCCGAACCATCGTCAGGAACGTGAAGAACGTTCTGTTCATACCAACAAAATTAGCATTCATAATTACAGTGATTATTTGAGGCTTTCGTGTACAAGTAATTCCAACGAATCAGACTCATGCCGAAAAAAAACGTAAAGGAATGCTTTGAAAGTAAAACACGGTCTTCCTCTTACGCTAAACGCAGTCGATCACTTTAGACCTTCTGTTTTGTACTGGAGGTATTAAGCTAATGTAGCAAACAGCTAACAGGTAATGGAAATCTTTCTGGTTGATATAGGTTGCGTCCCAATTCAGGGGCTGCATCCTTCGAAGGACGCGGTCTACAAAGGCGTGTTCTTTGAAGGCTGTCAGCTCTAGACGATGAGACGGTCAGCTCTATGGTGGATTTTCTGTTCGCATCACAGCACCGCTGTTCCCACCGCTGTTTGTAGAGGGGAGAATAACCACTCTGTAATGTCTTCCGGGTTTCTCGAACACTAGAGGGCGCTCCTGAGCGAGTCCAAAATGAACAGGTTAATATGGAGCATGAGTAAAATAATAGTTTATAAATGCTTAAACATTTTTAAGATAAAAGAATACAATCATATCCGGAATACAGAACAGCATAAAACATTTTAACACTGCTGTTATATTTTTAAGAGCTTTAAATCTCGATATAGGAGTCATAGGAGTTTAAAACGGTGCCTCATGTACGTTCATGACGTCTGTGAGCGCGGACAGCCAATGAGCTGCTCCGCTCGCCAACCAATCAGCACTCAGTGGCAGTAATGCCAGCGTTTCACTGCCCAAAACCCGTTTGCTGTAGAAAAAAATGAAACATACAGGTGAGTTTTCTTTACTTTTTTAGTGAAGTACATCCTTCTACTTTCTAAAATTAAAGAAACGTTCTGGCCAAGTGATTAGAAACTATTTTAACTTTTCTTTTTCAGTCGTTTAGCTCCATTCACCCCCGTTCATTGAGGACTCGCTTGCAGGCGTCCTCTGCTGTTTAGCAGTCCTGTTTTTGATATAACAGGGGAAATAAGAAGTGGCCAGGCACCTCATAAACCAGCTCTGATGGAGCCTTCGAAATAGGACAGCTTAGTCGCACCGCTGTGACGCAATTGGCCTTCAAATGCAGCCTCCGAAGGATGCAGCCCCTGAATTGGGACACAGCAATAGACTTTCATTATACCAGCCTTGCAGCTTCAGTGCAAAACTAAGAAAGCGTCAAACACCCAACGCGCCTGGACTGATCGACTGCGTTTGGGGTGAGGGGAAAATTGTGCAAATATGATTTTTCAATCAACCATTCCTTTAACATAATGCAGTGAATGGATAGTGGCTAGCATTCAAAAAGCAAATGATCCACATATCAACTTGGTACTGTGTTTAAGGTCTAAACAGCACTGCAACCACAAAGCATCGTAAATAGAGACAACCAATTTCTTAATTTCCAAACTACTCGAGAATCAACAAATGCTTAAAATATGCCATAGCATTATACAGTACTAGCCAGGAGCGACTGAAGAGTGATTTGGGCTTTAGTTATGAAAAAAATGTCCATAACAATGTGTTTAAATAATGTGTAGAGTTAGAGTTTTCACAGGATAACAACAAACAAAAACAGGTGTAGAAATTGAAATAAAGTGCTGTAATGACGACCATCAGTGCGAACGAAACGTAAAAAAAATCATCTTAATAATAATAATAATAATAATAATAATAATAGTAATAATACATAGAAGCTCTATATCCGTTTGGATATACATATAACAATTCTTATGTTACATTTATACACATTGTTCTTCAATATTGCTACAGGAAAAATGTAAAATCCACATTGTGGAAAACCGAAATGGAGAACAGTTTTATACAGTGTATCTAACATTAAGGAACGACTTTTATTCAAATGTGTTTCAGTCAAAGTATCAGTATTTGTTTCAAGAAGCGTGATAAGAAACTGTGTAGGCATTGCTTCGAAAAGTGAATTCCAGAGTTGTACCAGCATCTCTATGTGTCTTGTCAACATCACAGTTCAACCAAATTAACTCTCTAAGCTTTTACATACTAAAAGTGATAATAAAATTAATACAAAATAAATCTCATACTGATAGGGCACAGCGGCTGGAGCAACAGTGGGGCTTACGTTTTTACACCTTTAACTTTTTTATATTTATATTTTTTTTTGTTTATTTGTAGCAGGTTTTGACTAAATCTAGTCAGAGACCACTTTCAATATTTATTTTTCAGTCAAAATGGTTATTAAGTACAAGTTATTCATATTATGTCAGGAAAAGCATATTTTTAGCAGAAGACTCAAAAGCAAACTTTAATATATATTTTTTCAGTATTCAGCATGTCACTCTGCCTTTATTCCAGCTTCCATTCTTTTCAGGAGACTCACTTTCAGTTTCTCAAAGAATCTGCAGACACACCTCCAAAGTTCAGTCTTAGAAGCTGGTTGATCATTTTCTGAAGTAATCAAACACATTCAGTGGTGTTGAGGTCTGGACTCTGGGGTGGTCAGTCCATTGTTCAGCTTCTTTGTTTGATGTGTCCGTCTCCTTTTCTCAGTGAGGTTCTTCTTGATCAGCTACACATCCTTTCAGACCCACAGCGCTGAGTCGTCTTCTCACGGTAGAAGGATGGACAGAAACATCTGTGGATGTTTTCAGATCTGAAGCAGCTTGATTTTCTCCTCTCTCTCAAAGATGAAAGCTTTAAGTGCTGTTTATCTGATGGGGGCGTTTTGGTGTCTACCAGGTCTTCCAGGTGGTTGTTAGGAGCCACATTTTCTCTGTAGCTTTTAACAGTTTTTTGAACTTCTCCCATTTATTTTCCTTTGACTTTCCCCCCCTTATGTAAGTGGATTATCTTCTATCTAATCTCTTAATAAATGAACAACGTCTACTTCATGGCTGTTTTGACAAGAAATTAAATAAATGGAGGGTGGTCTCTTAGATTTGCACTGCACTGTATTTCAATGGAGAGTTCCCTCAAATCCAGCTGAACACCATATCGCCAAGTGCTTGGCGCTAAGGCACCCATATCTTTGTGTACTACTGTCTGCAGGAAATGAATATTATCCCCAAAGTAACCAGGTATTCCATCACCACAAACGATATAAAGATTTCAATACAGTAACAGAAACAGTGTTTAGAAATTTAAAACTGTCTCGCAAATATGCCTCTTGGTATCTTCCAGACGTCTCTTATTTATCATCTTTTGTGGAAACCACTGATAATGATCAAAACTAGGCATCTGGGTGACTGAAACAGTCTAAAGTGGGCGGGGCTTATGTAATACATCATCCCACACTCAAATTACTGGGCTTTTTTCTGAATTGGCTTATAATTGCAGGGGTTGTGATTTTGGGGGCTTATTTTGTTAGTGACTGGCCAAACCAGTCTTAGCCAAACCAATCGATGTAGTATAGAACTACAGCTCTGTAGAATCTTGACTTTAATATAAAAAATAGCAAAAATCAAAATCGAAAACTGTACCTGGAAATATGTGCATATGCGTATATTACTCCCCTAATTACCACCGTTCTTCTCACCATCAGAAATTATTTCAAGCTCAGGATCACCTTTCAAAGAGATCATATATTATGAGCATTGTTTTTTGTAGAAAACAAGAAAAAATATGCTGCTAAAGGAAACCCTGGTTTCAACAGTATAGGATATCACTGACTGTGCACAGTCTGTACACGCTTGATTTGGGGGCAGAGGCAATGTGCATTCCACTCAAAAAGGAAACTCTGCCTTCTTGCATATTGCATTTGTCCTGAAATTGACTGTATACACATACAATATTTGCTACTACACACATACACACAAACACACTGATGATATCTTACACCGAAAAAGAAACTATCGTGGATTTTTTTTTGTCCTTCAAGGATTAAAAACAGGTTTAAAAGTTTCTTCAGTGGCAAATTTAAAGTGTCCTCGCTCCTCCACCTCAATCCATTCCAGAAGCCATTATTTTGTCTGTCACTGAAACAGCAGTGTCAGTTGTCTGCTAAATATTTACCTGTAAAGTAGAGGATGAGACTACGTCAGAGGAAAGCAGACACAATAAAACTGGAGGGCAGACGAAGCAAACTAGAACATGCAGAACTGTTTTTGTTTTGTTTTTTAAAACAAAATTGGTTCTTTAAAGCTGCAGGGAACCTAAATCCATGCTTTCTTGCTCTTCTGGACACATAATATACATGTACAAAATATGTCCTAAGAATAACTTTCCAATCTTTCCAGTAAAGGTTGGTGAGCACACCACAAGGTCACAGCTTTGATGAAACAATGTGTTCATCTTCCTCTCCTCGAGTCTGAGTGCAGCAATGTAGTGCGCAAAAGCTAGCCTTGCAAGCATAACCAAACAAGCATGGGTTGATACGGATCCAGGATTCCTTCTTTACGGACTGCTAAGCATTAGTTTACATATATATCGCTGCTGTTGGAACAAAACCTTATATTTCCACTTTTGTCATTTTTCAGTTTTTGGCATCATTTGTAAATGCCTGGTGCTCTGTACATTCTGTTTAAATTTCATAATGAACCGAAAGAAACGGTCCAAAAAGTAATTAGTATTTTAATAAAGTATTAAAGGTCTGGTTCCATTGACATACACTAAAAGTAAAGTTCGTTCTGACAACAGTGATATATATATATTCATTCTATTTAACATGTAATATATAATATATATGTAAAGAACTGTAATGTTTTACCCTGGGAACACTTCTTCTAGTAAACATACCTGCAGAGAACCTCTTCTTGACCAGAGAGAGTCTATAGCCCGCTCCCACTAGCTGAAAGTCACAGCCGGAGAGAGTGCTGCCCTCACTGGTGAACTGCACAGCAAGCTGAGACGGCTTACTGGGGCCTTCTGAGAGCTGAAAACGGCCCAGCAGCGCCCCCACTCCTGAGACACGGACACAAAAAAGGAGAGACACATGAGACCTAAATTGGGTTAAACGTTAACCTTACTATAGCCACAACCAAAAATCTCTACTACTGCTTCCATCTGCTGGAGGCAGTGACATTGCTGTATTCACAAAAAGTGTATATAACTGACAATTTGATCATGTTCGATAATTGAAAATTTGCTTAAAAATGACAAATGTCAATGAATCATTAATACAAGCTCTAACTATTTTCATTTAGAGAATGTGCTCTGCACAAAAAAATAATTTTGGCAAGTAACACTATAAATCTAGTCAATGTATGTAACATTTTTCATTATGAGATTGTTGTAAGAATATTATACCATTATTTAACTTATTTATAAGTGTTTTCACTTAACGGGTGTTTTTAGTTTAACCTACAGAAATTGTTTTATTCTATTGGCAGATAATTGACAGTGTAGGCAATGTAGATACGTTTTACTTGTTTCAAGAACTAAATCTTAAAACAAGCAAAATTATCATCTATCAGTAAAATAAAATTTCTCTAAATGAACTTACTCACACAAGCAAAATGACTAGAAATAACATTCTCAACAGTAACAATCTCAAAATGACAAAGATGTATCAACTAGATTTAAGATGATTTCGCTTTCCAAGATATTTTTTGCAGTGTATTGTAAGGTGAATAAATCAAACAATGTGTTTGGTACTATTCTCAATATTAGCTACTACATTCTGTTGTTGACAGAAAGAAAAAAACAAAAACAAAAAAATGTTTCAGAGAGAAAAGGGTTCTTTTGCTTTTAATATGTCCAGTGTACAGTTACCTCCATTTTCTGATTTCTGTGAGAGTTCTGATATCTTCCACAGTATCTTCTGTGTTTCCGGGTTCCTTAAAGAACAAAGCAACAAACACAGTATTATGAAGCACGTCAAGTGGAATTATAATAAATGTTTGCTCCATCTACTTCCCTACTTTTATCTGACAGACATCTGATATATTTTCACTTTTATCACTTTTTGGTCATTTGAAGAACAACCTTTACAGAGCAACAGAAGCACCTAAGCTACAGACAAGTGCAGGCAAAGTGGTGCTGAATTTCAGATGCAGGAAACCTTAAAGTATGTGCCGGACGGTGACAACCTTGGAGTATTTCTCATGTAACAGAGCTGCTGTAATCCCTGAGTTACACATGCTAACCTCTTTCAAATGGTGGAATATTTTATGAATCTTCCCTTTGGTTTTCCACTAGAGATTTATGAATAATGAATGAATTCTTAATTATTGATGGTAGCTTCTCACCAAGTGGCTGGTGGCAGCATGGCCTGCACTTTCGTCACGCCACCATCCACGGGCACCATGAAGTGGATGTTGGTGAGGGGCATGGGGCTGGGTATGGCCTCTGTGTTGTATTTGTAGTCTATCCTGAGGTCTGTACTGTTAGTGTCTCCACGCCAGCTCACTGCTAGGTTCAGTGGAGTGGATTGGATGCCCTGCGTCGACACCTGGATGAGGAAATACATTCTGTATTACACCTGGTGAAACAGTCATGCATATCTGATGAGGGCTATTACCTGCCGCCAATCTAATTAACTCCTGACTCACATAAAAAAGACCACATTATATCTGAATACACTCTAAAAGTATATACCAGCCAACCAGAATATACTGTTGCTAGCACTTATTTTTAATTGTCAGGTTAACACCCCACCTGATATTTCAGCATGTCCACATTGTAGTATGTGGCTTGGGGTCGCTGGTCAGCCACTTTCTTCAGATGAGTCATCAGGTTGGGCATATTCACCCAAAACTCCTTACAGTCGGAGACAGTTGGCATGGTGTCACTGCACATACGATACAACACATTATGCTGTGAATGTCCTGCCGACAAGCCCCGATACCTGCTTTATAATGACACTTCAGTCCATTTTTACATACTTTTATTATAAAAATCCCAATGCTGAAATTCTTTAATTGGTCTGAGTAAAGAAAGCTTATGTATTCAACTGTAATACTAAAGTAAACCCTTTGAGTGTACAACAACTTCTTCCTTTCTCTATTCACAAAACTGGACACTTACCTATTTACAGGTGAAAAAGTAAAAAGACAAGTCTGAACAGTATTATGTTCAACATCATATTAGTAGATGCAAATCCATTCCAAGGATTTCTTTTCTGGTAGTACTCAATGTATTTAAAGCACTATTTAATATTTAAGTAGTCATCTGTATAATTTTAACTCTTATCAATGTCTGAGTTGTATTTGTTTCAACAGTTCAACTGCATTGACTGACCTGCACTGAACGATGTGAATAAGCATTTTGAATTGAATCAACCGAAAATACTTGTTTTACTTTTTTCAATACTTGAAGCACTGCGCACTTAATATAGACTATATGGCCAAAAGTATGTAGACACTTAAACGTCTCATCTGCCTGCTTTACACTACTCCAGCTAACACTTTCATTCTGCATGGTCATCTTAGACTTGTGTGGCTGCTCTGCCATGGAAATCCAATCCATGAAGCTCTGATGAACAGTTCTTGTGCTGACATTGCTTCCAGAGGCAGTTTGGAACACCGCAGTAGGTGTTGGCTAGTGAGGTCAGCAGTTAGCAGTCCCTTTCCAAGATCTTGTGTGGCCCACTGTGGTTGCTAGTAGACATTTTCACTTTACAGTAACAGCACTTGAATCCAGGGCAGCTCAGCCCATTCTACTGCAAGTCTTTGCTATAGAGGTTGCATGGCTGTATGCTTGATTTTACACACCTGTAAAACCAGTGTTTGTAAAATCGCCAAAGCCAGTAATTAGAAGAGGTTTCCAAATATTTTTGGCCATATAGTGTGTATATATGTAACTATCCCAAAACTTCTAAGTTCTACAAACTTCTGAGTTTTCATTGTATGAACTTAAACATATTAAGGCAACAATTTTGATAACACATTTGGGTTTACAAGATACAAAAAGCAGCACTAAGGACAATTTTACCAGCAGAGGAGCTGAGGGTTGGGGAGGACCTGCTCCAGCCGGCTATAGCGGCTGATGGTAAAGGTCAGGACAGGTGGAGTGGGGTGATTGGAGAAGTGTCTCGTTATGCCTGCTGGGAAGGACAGCACCATTTCTCCAGTTATCTTCACCACACACCTACAGCACACACAGCAAGGGAATGTAAGGCACACAATCCAATATGTGAGAAGGGAAACTATGCACAAATATAGAGAAGCACAAATGACTGGAGAGAGATAAATAATACATTCAGTAGAGACCAGCTTTTACAAAACACAAGCATAGTTTTAAGTCGCTGATGATTTTGATTCAACTGTAAAAACATACTGAGACACTACATTATGCTTGTAGTTTGAGTATAGTATAAAACCTACAGCAATCCTACTATAAGCACTTGCCTTTACTTGCTGTAAAATGATAGGAAATACATTTTTTCTGTGTATTTGCATTCTCTTAATTCCTAGCCATATTAGGAATCCAGTTATTGCTGGAGCTTTACACTGCAATGTTGCACATACTTGCTGGGGTCAGCTCCTTTGAAGTAGGCGCTAATGGTCTCCGTAAAGGCAGCTGCAACGGGCAGCGTGTCCTGTGGGCCCATGGTGAGTGGACTCGGCCCTCGGGAACAAGCTAAAACACACAAAGCAGGACAACCATCATCAAACATTATATATCCAAATCTTATAGTATATTACAGTTTATCAAAAGCCACTTAACCTCACAAAATCCTAGATAAAAAAAAGGAACCTTCCAATGCTTTTTGTTTTTTGTTAGCTTGAAGGACCTCATCACGGCACAGTTTAGCGTTTTTCCACACCTTACCACACCTAACCTGCCAACTAAATAACTTTTTATGAAAAAGTTTTGGTTTGTTAGTGCAGGGTAAACACTAAACTCAGCAGTGGTTTGGCCATCCAGTACTTGAGACTGATAACCCTTCCTCAGAAGAAACTGGACCCAGGAGCAGGTCTTGGGGAGCTCACCTGAGACAGACAGGTTGAGCTCTCGGCCCAGTGTGGGTGTGGAGGCGGCACTGAGGGAGGTCACAGAGGAGATGGAGGAGGTGCTCTCTGCTCTTGCCAGAGGAGCGAAAGGAGGAGGACTCCATGAGTGAATCGGGGGACTGAAGGGCCGAGCCTGTGAACCGACAGCACACAAGAACCAAGGTCAAGCACTGCCATAATATTGTTACTATAACTGTCCGGCTGGATTAGTCTCAGAGAGCCAGTGATGGTTGTTTCTAAAGGTGTGCTTACACATAACGTATCACAGCACAATCACGGACTGGCTACTCAGCCTTGAGGATCTTCTTGACACAAAAATACTGAAAGAAATCTGGGTTGGGCACTTTGGAAACCTTTATGAAGTGAGGGCCCATTTAAGGACCCTTAGATTTTAACTATAACATACAGAAAAATAAAACTCCAAGTTGCTGCATAACTAGTCTGGAAAGGCAGAGTGGAGGTCAGTGTACCAGTTCTCCAACATTTGGTTTGCCAGGTGGAAGTTTAGGTCGTGAGGACGGTCGGGGTGGAAGTGGTGGTATAGGACTACCCGCTGAGAGAGGCGTGCCAGGACGTGCAGGCGAGGAAGGCCCTGAGGATAACATAAACCAGTTACCTACCTGAAGATCTTTAAAAACAAGCCAAGATACTACCAATAGCAGTACATGTTATGAGTTATGAAGAGCTGGTCAACGTTTCCAGAGACATTCATAATGATGCTAAAATGTAAACCTTATACCCCATTTGTTTACACATTACAGGCCAAAACTTATTCTGTGTCTGTATGTGAACACATGTATGTGCATCTTCACAACATAAATAAATCAGTGTAAACTTACTATGAAGAGGCAGAAAACTCACCACTGCCAGGTCCTGGAGAAGCCACCACGCTCCTGTATGTGGGAGGGGGCAGTGGGGGTGGAGTGCCTCGCAGGCCTCCAGGGCCAAGATCTTTGGGTGAACCAGAGTAAGCGAGGAGCTCCTCTCTGAGCCCTGCAGAGTCTGGGGTCCTCCTGGCTTCATCTCGTAGGGGCGGGACAGGCCCGTATACAGATCGTTCAGCAGGTAGCGGAGGCAGGCCGGGGCTAGCTGGAGTGAGAGGGGTGCTGGGGGAGATGCTAGGCTCTAGAAGCTGGAAGGTGGAAGGCAGAGGTGGGGCTGGCTCGTCAGGGGGTGGTGCCAGGGGGGAGTCTGGAGGCGGAGAAGTGGAGGGGGGTGGAGGCGGAGGAGAGTCTGGGGGTGGGATTGGGTGCAGTGGGGGAGGGGGCGAGTCTGGAGGAGGCAGATTGAGGGGTGATGTGGAGGGAGAGTCCGCAGGGGAAGATGAGAGAGGTGGAGAAGGCGCAGGTTCATCAGGGGGCGGAGGCCTGGAAGGGGATCCGTCGCTGAAGCTGACCCAGCTGGACTGCACCATCTCCGTTCCAGATTTGGGGGTTTCAGCAGGGCCGAAGACATTGTCCAGGTCAGGCATGGCTGGCCCTCCTGTGGTGTCGGATAACAGGACATCCCGATATGCAGAAGATGATCCCTCTCCTCTCACGCTGGGAACAACACTGTAGTAACCTGTCCAAAAAATGTAAATACAGCATGGATTTTAAGTACATAAGTAGCAGCAAGATGGACTTGAGGTCATGAATGAATAGATCTGGGCTGGACTACGGCCCATGGCCGAAAATGGAAACCACTGGAATACATTACTCATCTTGCACTGGTTGTCTATATCAAAAGACAGGACATCAGTAATAAACGTGAATCACAACACACACTTAAGCTTATAAAATACATGTATGAACATCTAAGCATGTAAGATTTATCATAAGTCTTCAATGCATTGGATCTTCTAATAATATGTCCAAAATGAGACCTTCAGTTTGGTTATCTGGGATTCGAATGAGAGTTCAGAATTGATTTCAAAAGACTTTGTCAGCCCTAAAGTTCAAAAGCATGAATATATTTTCTGTCCTGCTTTTATTGTCCAGCTTCCACATCCAGAAAGAACCACAGAAAGACCACACCCTGGACAATTCAGGTCTTTGTTCATAGAGACACATCATTACATTTGAAGATCTTTTCAAGTTTCTTCATCCTTCTTCTGCCGAGTACCGATCTGTGTTGTATTACTTGACTGCTGGATCTTTTGCTCTTAATTACTGATCCAAGAAGGCAAAAAAGGGTGCTACTTCTACATCTTCACTAACGGTCAAGTCAGCAGTTTTTGCCGTTGTCATAATCTTTGTTTTCTTCATATTGAGCTAAAGTCCCATCCTTTCACTGTGTTCTATTCTTATAAGGGCCTCTTGGTCTTCCTGATTTTTCGCTATGTGTGTCATGTAATCCTTATACTGGAGGTTATTGGTGTTTCTTTCACCAATCTTGAATCCTTGATCATCATCTTCCAGTCCTGCTTCTCTCAGCATTCAGCCTGAACAAGTATGGTGACAGCATGCAGCATTTACAGGTGGAACCTGCACTGATCAGTGTGGAGATGCCTCAATAGAGCAATGAGATGCTCCTGAGGACATTCCATAATTGTATGTGGTTGACATAGTCAAAGACTTTGCTGTAGACAATGAAACACACTTTTTTGATTATCCAGCGTACATCAGCAACAATATCCTCTATGACAAATTACGTATGGTGTTAGAAAAGTTTGAAGTCCTTACATACCAATATTTCCAATAACAGTTTAATCTTTCCACCGTACTAGCTAACAGAACAATGTCTCAGTCTCAGAGAATTAAACAAGGTCAGACCTTTACATAGACGTGAATTTTGATGTGTGATTTCTTGCACATTATCATGAACAACACAAAACACACACTCAAAGGATGGTTCCCAGTTATACACTGTAAATGCACACATCCAGGGTGCAAGAGGCCCACAGCCTGCTATGTTTAATGACATAGGAGGACAGCATTAAGATAGGAGATATGAGAACCCCTGGTCCCATGACTTAGCCAACCAAAAGCAAGACCAAATACTTGAAAAAGATACTGATCTCGCTGCTTTTTGTGCCACATACAATGTTACTTGTGGTATTACGAAATTGGTGCAACTTACCAGAAGATTCTAGAGAGCTGGAGCTGAAGGCTGATGGAGTGGCAGGAATGTTCTTTGGAGGAAGAGGAGGTGGAGCTGTAGGAAAAGATTAGTGATCAGACAAAACGGTTGCCTTCATAAACGAGAGAACAGCTCTGTGGGAATGCTCAATCAGTGCTACTTTACCTCCTGTGGGGAAAGGTCTGTTCAAAGGGGAGGTGGCCTGTGGAGTTGACTGACACCATAGCTCCGGCTCCACTATGAAGACTAAATATGGAAAGAAGTGTACTATGAGACTTTTGAATGTAACCCAGGAAATACTATAATCAATATGACAAAGAGCAATCAGAGCTTAGGTGCTAATGGCTTACATGAAATAAGCTACAGAGAATGTTTTTTAATCTTTAGATATTTCTGTGTCCTGTACGTAGAATTTATACAGAATGAAAAACTGCCTTATGTGAAGGTCACTGACTTAGTAACACAGAGGTAATTTTTTAACGTAAGTCTTAAATGTTTATTTTACCTTCTGAATTCTGTGCTTCGAAGTTTGTCTCAAACGGAGGGCCAAAGAAAGCTGAAGCATTGTCTGATAACCTCTTGCTGAGGAACACAAAGGAAAAAACAAAGATTGAGTATTAGCACAAGCACTAATAGGTATTTATAGGCATTGCAAGCCCTTCAAATTCCTCTTTAACTCAGCAATCTATAAAAAGCTAGTGTCAGGCTAACCTGGGTGTGTCTGGACCAGGCCCTGGGGTTGGAGTGGGTGTCGGAGTGGAACGTCTAGGCCTGGCAATGTCCTCACCTGGAATACAATAGGGTCAAACAAAATGGATTGTGAATGTTTACAGAATATTATGGTTAAGGGTAACTTTAGGAGCCACTTTATTTCTATACTTACTCTACAAAAACAGCACATTACAGCTAAATTACAGGCCCCCACACACACATATCTCTGTGCACCACACTTACTTGATGTGTTTCGTTTCAGCTGACACTGCAAAGAAGAATAGAGGAGTAGGTAACAGACACATAAATACAAGCAAGAGTATCGGATACACTAGATGATATCATGCAGTGTTCATTCAGCCTACAAAACAACACCCCGCTGAAGTATTATGACCATTTTTACCATGCATGTAGAAAAGAATTCCACAAAAACAAAAAACTTGGGCCCAATCCCATCTCTCATTTTTATGTCTACCCCTTGTTTTCGAATGTCACTTTGGCCCTTGGAACTGAGTTACAAGGGACAGTGGTTGAAATGTTCCCTATGAAATGGGATCCTCAATTAAAAAAGAACATTGCTTCATTAACAACTACTAGCGCTGCTCTGTAGGCGACCCTGCCAGTCTGCAGTGATAGCAGAGGAAGGTAAAGTTCAGCTCCTTACTGCTGGGCTTTAGTTACATTTAGGGAATCATATGCCTTCAAAGAGAGGGGCAATTATTTATTACCCACCCCTAATTCTTCTGCGATATGAAGCTGAAGTCAGATATCCGCCAGCTTCGTTCGAATTTTCATGTTCCACCTTAAATGGAGCAGCATTTCTGATTCCTGAGGTGCCAGAATGTAACTGCTGCACCATTTAAGGTGGAACTGGAAACTTAGCCACCAAGGCGATTTTTTATTCTTGGTATGAAGAAAAGGACCATAATACATTGAAACGACATCAAGATAACACAATGATTATCTTAACTTTAACGGAGAAAATACTCACATTTGTGAGTAAAAACTTGTCAGTTTTTCTGTTTTTCTCATAACACTCTGTTTGGAAGGTTATGTAGCCCTATCACTTCGCCCTGCCTCTCTATCTCAATAAAAATCGGGACACCCAGGTGTGAACGCACAAAACGGAGGGGTAAGGGCTAAGTGAGGGCTAGGTTGTATGGGCGAGGGGTAAAATGGGATTGGGCCTAAGACAAAGCTCTCTGTGACGCATGTAGTCTGTTGTTTGAGAGCTTTATGCAGCAGATATTAGACTGGAGGAGTTGAGAGATTCATAATTTCAGATCCAGCAGCATGCCAGGCTGTACACCTTTTACTTTGCAAAGACTCATAATTACAAAATGCAAACTTACTGGACTGCGCCTCTGCGATCGGCAAAAAGGAAGAAAGAAGAGACCTGGTCAGAAAGCGAGTGACAAATCAGTTAAGAAAAAATTAAAATCTGCAGTCATAGGTCAGGCAATAGCAAAATAGTAGCGGGACAACGGTCACAGTCATAAACAATTTGGTATTTCTGGGACATTTTCTGTAGTTTTAAACATGTAACAGCAGCTTTATGACACCACATGAGGGACAAATGGCAAACGCGCTCTTACTTTTGTGGAGAGGCCCCCTATGTTAACCCTTGTGTGGTGTTGATGTGTTTGTGTATATATATATATATATATATATATATATATATATATATATATATATATATATATATATATATATATACACAAACACACACACACTAACAGCAGGCCATGGGGTGGGGTGAACAGAAGTATTCTACTTTCAAAATGGGTTATTTTATATGAACTTCAAAGAAAATGAGCAAAGGACAAGCACTCTGAGATTGAAATAATAATAAATTGCTTCATTTTTTAGTTTGGTAAACATTGAAAACGGGTCCCATAGACCTGAATACCGCACAAGGGTTAAATATTTTCTCAGATAAAATCAGATATTTAAAAAGAAGGAAAAAGGGAAGCCAATATTTTTAAACAGTGGGAAACTTACACATGGATAAACTTGAATGAGGTGTTTACGTTTGTAAAGTCAGACTGTGCTGTAACGCCTGTAAATAATTTGAATACTTGGGTATTCGTCTATTACGTTGGTGTTTGTTTCTCCATTCAGTATTTGGAAGCTTTGCCCTTTTTTAAGCCATAAATAGATTTATTCAGCAAAAGCCTTTAGATAGAATAGTTATTATTACATATGCTAATGAGCCAAAAACTGATAATATACTGTAGGTAATATACTGTTGGACAGCACAAAACAGCTGTTTATTTCCACAAAATCACAGGTTTCCCAGTGTATCAGAGAAGAGTCTCATCCACACTGTTAGTACAGCGCAGGAGCTGCTCTGCATCTCTCACACCAACAAGACATTTTATTAAATGATTATTCTAAATATAATTTAGAGCAGCATAGAAAGCAGGAGCGTGTAAAAAAAGGCTTGAGTTTTGACAGATATAAAATGTGCAAAATAAGCACCAAAATAAAAAGGAAAACTTCTACAATATTAAATGCAACCAAAAAAGTGAAATGCAGTGCACACATGAGACTGTATTTAAACAGTAACGCAGAAATGCGAAAGTAAAAGGTCCATTATATTGATTTAGTGTTGTTTTAAATACTGCGCAATGGAAAGCAATACAGCCATGTCTACATTACTTTCAAGGCATACTGTATTCAGTTCCACTGTAGTAATTGACAGCATTTGGCACAAATTCCTCTCCATACATTTGCATATTCAGAAACACCAGTGAGTATTTCCAAGCCTGTAAAATGCAGTTCAAGCTAGTCTTAATGCACATACATAATATTAAAACATGCTAATACAACCGCACTGAAAAAAAGATGCTTGAAACTCAAAAATGTATTTCACGTCATGCGTCAGTGTTTCAAGATATCAGAAGACCATCACACTTACCGGACTTCTCCTCTGTTGCGAGAGAAAAACAGAGAGAGAGCCAAGATAAAGACACCAAAAGGACACCGTAACATTAGTCCTTCTGACCACTGGCCACTGTATCAAGTGATTTCATGTATGTTAACGAGGTACAGTGACAGGAAAGGTAGGAATTTGAGAGAAAAGGAATTTAAAAGACAGAGGACCCATTTACACATGGCGTTACATACGTCTCGGGTGATTAAATCACAAGTGGACAGCGCTAAGCACAGGTGTAAATGAGGTATGATGCATATCAGATTGTGATCTGTTTACTCAGAACATCTTTGGAGGTGGTCAGAGATGCATATGGCCACATAATACTTGTAGTGTGAATGCTAAAGTGTACCGACAATTTCGAACAATCACACACGGACTCACAGTCCCTTCCTTTGGGGAAGAAATCCAATCACATGCAGAAGACGTACACAAGACCTATATGTTTTGGTGTCCATTTATAATCAGCCCTGCAAAACAATGGTATCTTGGCAAATTATCTTAAATCTAGTTGATATAGCTAATATATCTAATATTTCTCATTTTGACATAGTTGTAAGCTTTTTATAAGGTTATTCAGCGTATTTCCAGACATTTTTTACTTGTGTTCTATGTGATTTTATCAAGTGAAATCACTATATTGACAGATAATTCTGCTTGTTTCAGACATATTTCTTAAAGGGCCCATATTATGGAAAATAAAAAGACATTCCTTCTCCTTTTGAAGTAAAAAAGTTTGAGACAACATGTAAACATTGTTAAAGTCTCAAAACGTACCATCCACTACCCAATCCATACAGTCTATATATGGAAACTAAGCTGCAAAAACGGCTCATTCTGAGTTTATTTCTGTGACGTAACAAGAACATTTACATATATCTGCTTATTCAGCCTATAGCAAATTAGCCCCGCCCATTCATACTGAAGTTCTCAGGATTGTTTTTTCAATGAGGAACAAAAACCAATCAGAACAGAGCTCATATAGTTCATCATGCCAAGTATCAAAAACAGCCTGTTTATTTCTAGAGGATAGAGAGAGGATTGCAAACTGGTCATGTAAAAGTGAATTATGACCATTTTTGGTACATAAAAGGGAAAAAAAATTCAAGAAATATGTAAGATTATAGGCCCTTTAAAACAAGCCTATATACATAGTTACATATATTCCACTTGACAAAATTACTGTAAAACAAGTAAAACATATCCAGAACTAAAATAAAAAAATTAAAAAAATAAAGTACAAAGTTTAAAATAAATAATTTTATAATAAGCTTGCAAAAATATCAAAACAAGAAATAAATATTTAAAACAGAATTAAGATCATTTAAATTGCCAAGATCCCATTTTTTGCAGTGTGATCACTTAAGACAGACACCAAGTGTGAATATAGCCTGAGAGACTCAAGAGAAACTGGCTCTTACCAGTGGGGAAGGGGAGATGGCCAAGGTGCCCACAGAGGCTTTCAGTTCATCCATGGTGGGCACGGTACCATTGTCCGGCGCTAAGGGTTTGATCTTAATCTTAAACTTCTTCCCATGCTCATCCTCACCCTCCGATTCGCTGGATGAGTAGAAAGTTTTTGTTCTGGGGGTCAGTGAAGCGCTGTTAAGGAAGACTGCTTTTTTTCCTCCTTCAACTCAATAAGGCTTTTGATAATTACCTCCTCAGCATGTAATGCGTTTTTAGATAAGGGAAACATTATAGAAAGAGGATTTGATTAAGGGCAGCACAATAAGGAGGATTTACAGCCAGCCAAGAAAAGCAGTAGGTAGTTGTTGACTGAGCTGTGACTTTCAAAGCTTGGATTGAGGAACATGGGCCTAAGAGTGCATCTGACTTACATCGTGTTTAACTGCTTCATATCTGTGAGCCGAGTGAGCTTTATTTGTACGTTTTTTTAACACCATATTTAGTTCCAAAACAGCAGACAGTACACAACCCCACACACTGCTCCTCTCGTTTTGACGAAGGGTGATCCATATCTTTCAAATCTAAGAGGTAGTGCATCAGACGAAACCTTTACATTTAAATGAGCTATTATTTCTTTGTTCTTTTTCTTTCTTACTTTTTTTTTAAATTTCTTTCACTATTTCAAATGACGTATCTAAACAAAGTCTGCGTGATTTACAACAAGCTGTTATTCTTCTGTTTCTTTGTGAGATCCAAACCTTTTACAACGTTCATAGAGAATCCCAAGAGCTTATAAAAAATATTCTGTCTTTCAATAAATATGTTATTCTTTATAGTGGAAGGTTTGACAACAACTGTCTTATTCAGTGTGTAATATCTGGTCTCTGCGTTTTTTCCCAAAACAATGTTATTTGTTTTTCGCATTTAGAAAACTAAAGTCCAACAATATTCTTTCATTTTTATTGTAATTGTGCTCTTCTGGATATAAACCTAACATAAATAGCTTTGGGTCTAATACAATTTCTTTTGGAATAATCTTCTCACATGTCAAGCTGACCTCTTCCCAAAATGTTTTAATATTTCTACACTGCCAGATATAGTAAAGCAGTGTTTATTTAGCCTATGTACATTTAGTGCATAAGTCTAGTATATTTTTTATTATAATGATTTGACTTCACCGGAGTTACATAAGTTAACCAGTCACATTGTGTAAATCTGAGTGGTGTACTTACTGTCTGAGAGGCAGTGACAGCACAAGCTGATTTCCAGCTTTACTTGTACAGTTAACAAACCAATTACTACAGTGGAAAAAGAGCATAGTGTACAATATGTCACAGGTAATCACATCAGCATGATACCCACTGAAGAGTTATCCGTTTAAATCAGAATTCAGCCTGTACAGCATTGCAGGACATAACAGTTAGACAACTTCAAGGGGAACTCTCACTTTCAAACTTTCTGCATAATTAAACGGTTGAGACGCAAAGAAAGTCATTCAGAGTGGCTTAATATGACTTACAGTCAGAATTGTTCACAGTGGTGGTGACAGGAATCAGACGTCCACCTCTAAAAGCTCCCTCACAGAAAGTTACTACATGAAGTGGTTATGAACACACTGTGTGGCATCTGTGACATTGTTTTATGAAAGTTTTGATTGTTTTTTTAACCGTTCATGGCGGAGAAGTACACACAAGGTGTTGTGAGGCAAAATAGTCCCCAAAGAAAATTTCTTTTTTCAGAATTACCATCATCAACATCACATATAATAACCCAGATGACACGTGCAAGTTCACTTGTTATGTTGGATAGTAAATAATGATTATGTGATGTTGCGATTGCGGTTCTTATCTTATTCTTACCTCCACTGTAAAGAAATAAGTCAGTAAACTTCTCTACAAAGACCATTTCACATCAAACCACACTGAATCCCTTTGTTTACGTCTCAGTGATTAAATTATGCAGACATTTTGAAAAATAAGAAGAATCCTCCTTTAAAGCACTTTAGTGACAATCTGTAAGCACAAGGCACTGTGCAGTTTAAAGGATATTCCCCCCTTGCTCTCCAGGCCTAATGCTGTATCCCTCATCATCCACATCAGGGGAATTCTGGGAAAAAAGAGAGATGGTATTTGGTTAGGCACTGCAGTATGTAAAAACAGACTTTTCCATTACGTGTCTTTCTACAAATGCTTAATATTTCATTTACTCTTAGATAATTTCTCCTAGTTTTATTTGTCTGTAAATTGTTGTCAAAAAGCTACATTCACATGCAGAATGCATATTTTTGAGAAAGACTTTTCCATAAAATCCCCTATGCAAGTGATATTCAGTTATCATCAAAAGCTGAAACACAACAGCCACATTTACATGCAGCCCAATAATCCGTTAATAATCCGACTAACAGCCCAATCGGAAAAGTCGGAACAGACTAGTCTGATTGAGGCCATTCGGAATACAATTTCTATTCAATTGAACGAAGAATGTAATTCTGTAAATAATCTGTTAAATAGAAGAATAATATCTGTGTAAACGCCTGTATCTGATTACATTCCCTATCAGAAAGTTTAAGTCCGTTCTGATCATGTTCGTCACGTCATAGTGAAAGTTAATAATGTTCAACATGGCGGAGCAGAAACTGGTCTGCAGAGGAGATGAAGTTTATGCTCTGATCTTTAAAAGACGGCGGTGGGACGGACGTCCAGCTTATGTGTCTCAGAACACAACATCTTCCTCTCGCCACCTCCTGAATACCTGTGAAGTACAAGTAATTAAAACACAAGCGCGCCAGCTGAAAACTCATCTCAGTCTGAATGGACCTCACGTGATGCTCGCTGTCATGGTAACGTCTACACTAAGTGGTTCTCTACGCATGCGCATCATTTTGGATCGGTTTGCTTGTAGAGTGCATATAACCGGAGATTTATCAGATTGTTTAGTAGAGTGAGAATAAAAACACCTCAGTCTGAATCTATAATCGGAATGTATTCAATCAGATCAGCAGAAATCTTTGCATGTAAACACAGCCAAACCTGTGCCATGTGGGAAGCACTTAGCCACGCAGCTAAACTAGCAACGTACTTCAGTTACCTCATTTGGTAATTGTCATTTAGCTTAGAAATTGAACATATCACTTCATTCAGAACAACTGAGCAGCTAAAGAGCTGTCAGACAAATAGTCAAATAGTCCCATACATTTAAAACTCTTACCAAATAGCCAAAATAAATATTTGTTTCTTCATTTATTTATGGTGATTGTTCTTCAGGGCAAATTCCTTGTGTTTGGTAGTCGTCGTGTGTGATGTCATATAACTTCTGATTTATTTTAGAATGACAGCAGAAGTAGATTTGAATAATCAAATGCTTTTTATACATTCACACGTGAATTTTTGTTCATCGAATTCGATTAATATTTGCCAACCCTATTGCACTGTGTCCACATATTTGAGGTTATATACCTGATCAATGAGTAAGTGTAAGAGAGCCTGAGTTTGGGATGAAGATATAATTATGAGTCCCATTTTTTTTCCAGAACCTAGCATTGTATTGATCAACAGAATTAATTACTCAGTTCAATAAAGTACAATTTTGTCTCAATTCAAGCAAAAAATAAGGGGTGACTGAAAATGTGCCTCACATTAATGTGTTAATTTCTTTCCATTTTGAGTATATTAGAACACTCAACATTATAAAAGTACAATATTTGAAACAAAATCTGTGTTTAATATTGCCCCGATCTAATGCTCTAACCACAATCTAACACAGTAACACCAAACACTAACCGCAAGCTACAATACAATACATTATACTGTTACACCCACATCCATCTCACTTGAACAAACCCAAAATTTTTCACATCTTCACAAACATCTACCACATTTTGGATATTAGATGCTTACATATCGATCCCAGTCTATCTCTCCATAGAAACCATTTGGAGCTCCATTGGCCTTTTTCTGTGAGAGACAAAAACAGGTTGTAAAGCAAAACCAACTTGAGATCAATATTGTTTTGTAGGAATAAAAATAAATCATTATTTTTGTTCAGTCACTTGAAAAGGCTTATTTAAGATGATTGTACTATACTGCACTTACTGATTTGTCTTTGTCTGGTGAGCCCCTATAACAAAATAAAAAGCACTGCTGGTGAACAGCATGTTTTGAATGGTCACATATAAATCAGTTATGCAGACTTTCCAAATGCACAATCCAAATGGATTCTCCATAACACACATAGCGTATTTTGTGCTATGATTATACAACACTGTGCAAAAGTCAAAGACCACCTTCATTTATTTAATTTCCTGTCAAAACAACTATTAAGTACATGTCATTTTTCAACCTTTGCCTTTATCACAGCTTCCACACTTTTTGGGAGACTCGCTTTCGGTTTTTCAAAGAAATATGCAGGGACATTTTTCCACACCTAGGTCAGTCTTAGACGTTGGTTTCACTTTCTGCTTCTCAAAGTATCCAAATAACCCAAAACACATTCAATGTTGAGGTCTGGACTCTGGGGTGGTCAGTCCATTGCTCTAAAAACACTTTTGTTTGATCTGCAAATGCTCTTCTTTTGTGTCAATTTGCCAGTCTTTCTCAGATAGATATATATATATATATATATATATATATATACACACATTTTCAAAATTATTGCTGCCACTACTTCAGAATTTTATGAAATGTCATTGAAGTTGCATTTACAAAACTCCACAGAGGGCTTTTAATTTGAAACAATGATCAACGGAAGTGGAGGAACATTGCGTGAACAGTCTCATTTACATTTTACATTTACAGCATTTAGCATTTATCCAGAGCGACTTACAGTTTGATCATTTACACAGGTAGGCAGGGGTAGGAAGGTAGTGTTAGGAGTCTTGCCCAAGGCCTCTTATTGGTATAGCGTAGGGTGTTTGTCCAGGCAGGGGATTGAACCCCAGGCTACAGCGTAGACAGCAGAGGTGTTACCCACTACACTACACCAACCACTACAGTCAAAGCCAAGTTGAGCTGAAGTGCCGAATGAAATGGCCTTCATCAGATCGGACAATTCAAAACTCAGCACACTGTGAGGAGGTTGGGCTGGGCTTATTTTACTAACCGGCCCTGTAACCGGAAGGTCGCCGGTTCGATCCCCAGAGCCGACAGCACGTGACTGAGGTGTCCTTGAGCAAGGCATCTAACCCTCAACTGCTCCCCGGGCGCTGTGGATAGGGCTGCCCACCGCTCCGGGCAAGTGTGCTCACTGCCCCCTAGTGTGTGTGTGCTCACTAGTGTGTATGTGGTGTTTCACTTCACGGATGGGTTAAAAGCAGAGGTGAAATTTCCCCGTTGTGGGACTAATAAGGGTCACTTAATAATAATAATAATAATAATAATAATAATAAAAGTTCAGTTTTATAATTTATGGACTTTCGTAGACAGTGGTGGTCTAAAATGCGAATAAAGTGGGTTAAAAGGAACTATTTATCTGTTTTATTCTATGCAAGTCTGGCTACTTGCTCGTTGTAATGTGTTAATGCTAGCCAGCCAGCTGAGGGGAGCTACTGTTAAGGACGGTATATCTTGTTCGTTTACAACTTTACAGTGAGAAAATGTACTGAATGAAACAGGTGAGTCAGTGGCTGGACGAAAAGAAGCTACCTTGGGGGTTGGGAGGTCAGCAGGTGGGAGGTGGGATCTGGCCTGTCACCGCTACTGAAAAAATGTCTAGAGTAAACACTGATTTCCTTTTCTCAGTGAGGTTCTTCTTGACAGCTACACATCCTTTTAGACCCACAGCGCTGAGTTGTCTTCTCACAGTGGAAGGATGGACAGAGACACCTGTGGATGTTTTCAGATCTGAAGCAGCTTGATTTTCTCCTCTCTCTCAAAGATGAAAGTGCTGTTTATCTGATGGGGGCAGTTTTGGTGTCTACCAGGTCTTCCAGGTGGTTGTTAGGAGCCCCATTTTCTCGTTATATCTTAATAATTTTTGAACTAATTTTGTCATTTTTGAACTCTAACTTGTATAACTTGTATTTAATAGCTGTTTTACTCGTAATTAAATAAAAGAAGGGAGCTTTCTCACTTTTGCACAGTACTATATGTGTTCTACTGCACTGCGAAATATAAAAAACTCAAATGGTTAAATCTGTAAATCTATATGTACAAATGGACAGCCGTTTTAAATTTTTAAATTTCTTCCAATCTATTCAAAATTTCTAAGAAACGCTGACCATCTTCATTTTACTGGAAATACTCACGTGGAGTCAGTGTCCTTCTCTTTCTTGCGTAACCCGAAGGCCTTTCGGGTACGCTTCTTCAGTCCTGAGGAAGAGAGATGGAGACAGAGAAACTGAAGTGGACACGCAAGGGCCAAAAGAGCAAAACCATCCACAGAGCATGTAATCTCCTTCCTCCGACCAACACCAAGTCACCTAAAGTGACAAGTGGGTCTTTTCTTTTGCCTCAACAACTGCCATCCGTCTTGGGCGGACAAGCCTGAGGCCTCCTCCTCTCTCTGGTTGTCTGCTTTCCTTTTCTGACGAGATACACACCCTCAGGTCTTGGCATCGTGCAAAAAAGTCCCTCCAAACAAAACAAGAATCCACAGCCTGGAGGAGGTTGGCATGAGCTTTGGTGGGAAGCACTTTCCTACAAGGGGGAAATGAGCCAGGCCGAAAAAGCAAAGTACTAACCAAGGCATGGCTGGAAGTCTTGAATGTTAAAGGGAAACTCCACTGATTTATCAAAAATTCTACATAATTAAATGGCTAAGATGTAAACAAAGACGTTCAGAGTGGTTTGGTGGGAAATTCTCAGTTCTAAAGAAATTTACAGTCAGAATTGTTTACAGTGGTGGTGATAGGAACCAGACGTCCACCTCTAAAAGCTCCCTCACAGAAAGTTATTACATTAAATGGTTATGAATTCACTGCCTGATGACTGACACACTGTTTTATGACATTTTTGTGATAAAGTTTTGGCTTAAAATCAATGTGAGGCAAAATAGCCCCCAAAGAAAACATTACTTTCAGATTTATGACTATTTTACCATCATCAACATTCCATATAAAAGCTCAGAAGACTCGTGTAGGTTCACTGGTGGTTTTGGATGGTAAATAAAATGTCTATATTTGTGTTGTAGACATGGTGACCCCTGGTTCCCATCACCACCACTGTAAAGAAATCTGAGTCTCTAAGTTTCTCTATGATGAACCACCTCATGTCAAAACTACTCTGTTTCAGAGTTTACATCTTAAGGACTGAATTATCCAGACATTTTGAAAAAATGGTGGAATTCTCCTTTAAACATTTAATATCTGGTCAAACACAAGTTATATGACATCTAGTTTAACGTTTTTGTGTTTCTGTATGCTGAATTCTGTCTTGTCTCTTGCTCATCTGGCCTCTGTCAGGGCCCTGGATCACAGAGGAATGATTCAGGGCCTGAATGTAGACAGAGAAGGCACTTGAGCAGAAGACAGACAGAATTAAGAATGAATAAAGGATGAATTAAGGACAAAAATACACGAATAGCTGCCTGACAGAGTGGCCATGTAGGTTACCACACAACCTCAGAGAGGAGACCCACACATACACATGCAGGCTATCTCTCTCCTACCGTAGCTTACATACAGGACACACTGCTGTTTCCTCACAGAATGACCATAAGCTGCTTCTCTACGTGGAAAAGATGTAAAGGATGATATGATGGTTAAAATGAGAGCATTTTTGTTTTTTTTTTTTTACCTTCCATCATGGTTGCAGCTTCTCATTCCGCTGTGTTTCGGGAGCAAGGAGGACGAGGGATACCGTTACGGTGACAGAGGTCGGTGAAAGGACGGTTCATAATCCTAAATTCGTGTCTTTATCTCTCTCTTTTCTTTTTCTCCTTCCTCCTCAGTGCAGAAAGGGGATGCTGAGGACAGAGAGGGAGGGATAGGGCAGGTTTATCCCGCTGGAGGAAACAACACACCCGGCTCCGAAATCTGAGGCATATTGGACAGCGCAGTCTAGCGGTCGGTTAAAACAAAACGACCGTTAATTTTTGAAAAAAAGACAAGGACGAAACGAAGCTTGGCAATAAAAACGAGCGATTTTTTAATCTCGAAAGGTTTATAATTCACGTCTCTTTATTTTAGTCCTCAATATAATCCGTTGTTTTTGTTTTAAATCAAAGAAACTTATAAATAGGGAATATAATTGCTCGGCTGCCTAAAACCGGGCTCTGACAGTTGCGATGCCCCGCTCGTGAACGAATCGGTTCTTTTCAGTGAACCGCTTCACAAGCCTTTTTGTATTTGTATTTGAATCATTGAATCGAACTCTCGGTTCATTTAAATGAACAGTTCAAAAGAATCGGTTTGATAAACGGAATTGGTTTTCTGAGTTATTAACGTTTGGTATTGCAAGAAGTCATATTTTAAACAACAATTAAAAAAAAATAATAATAATAATATAAAAATGTTTAACCAGATTTTTTAAAATCCAAACCTCTAAGGGCGATGCCTAACTTGTGAATGAATCGGTTCTTTCCAGTGAACTGATTCACAAGGCTGTTTTGTATTGTATATGAATCGTTGAATCAGATTCTCGGTTCATTGAAATGAACAGTTTGAGAGAATCGGTTTGATAAACTAAAGTGTTCTTCAGGTTATTAACGTTGGTATTGGCAGAAATTAGATGTAAAACAAAAAAAATGAGCAAAATAAAAAATACAAAAAATATTTAACCAGATTTTTAAAATCCAGATAACGTGGTGGGCGTGGTCACGCAGGCGCTAAACCAATAGGCGAAGCGCACTCAGGCTTCTCCTTCGTCACGTGATCTCACAGGCGTCTGACACACTTTGCCCCGTTTACGTTTGTGTTGAACGTTGGTGGTCGTTTCATGTTTTTATCTGCATGATAAAAAACCTTCATCGTTTTGTACACATTGAAAGACTATCGCTTTCCATAACGCCGAGGAAAACATTACCTATAAATTACATTTATCTATAAATTCACGTTAGCAGGAGGCAGTTAACCAGATATGTAAAGGAGAACTCCACCGATTTAAAAAAAAAATCCCCATAATTAAATGGTTGAGATGTAAACAAAGTCATTATGAGTGGTTTGGTGTGAAACTCTCCGTTCTAGAGAAACTTACCATGTCAGAATTGTTCACAGAGGTAGTGATAGGAACCAGACGTCCGTCTCTAAAAGCTATACATTAAATGGTTATGAATTCACTGCCTGATGTCTGACACGTTGTTTTATGATAGTTTTGTGATACAAATTGAGGCTTAAAATGTTTTTTTGTTTTTTTTTTAATCCATTCATGGCGGATGGGTACATGCAAGGTGTTCTAAGGCAATTTTGTCCCCAAAGAAAACTCATTATTTTCAGATTTTTAACTATTTTACCATCATTAAAACTCCGTATAAAAAAGACACGTGTAGGTTCACTGGTGGTTTTGGATAGTAAATAAAATGGCTATATTTGTGTTGTAGTCATGGTGACCCCTGGTTCCTATCACCACCACTGTAAAGAAACCAGAGTCTCTACAATGAACCATTTCACACCAAACCCACTCAGAATGACTCTGTTTACACCTCAAGGACGAATTATTCAGAAAATTTGAAAAAGTGGTGGAGTTCCCCTTTAAAGCCCATCTTGGCTGCTGAATAAATAACTCCAGTCCGGATGGAAAAAAAGGTTTTAAGGTGACTAAAAACAGTTTTTAGTTCTTCTACCACGACCTAGAAATATGTAAAATTTGCTTTTTATTGTATCAAATTTTTTATTTTATTATTTGTAAAATATTAACTGGGTTCTTGAGTTGCTACATACAGTAATAGCAACATACATACATACATACATACATACATACATACATAAATAAATAAATAAATGGACACGGTGCACAGAGAGAAAAGCAGAAAAAACAGAAAAGAAAAAAGAAACCCAAACCAGATTTAACCAGATTTTTTAATCCCGTTAACGCAGCGGATTTGCCGACGTCACGCCGGCGCTCCACCAATAAGCAAAGCGCTCTCAGGCTTCTCCTTAGTCACGTGACCTCTCAGGCTTCTTCTCTGACACCCCTTACCCTGTCCGCTTTGAGGTAAGTCCGTAACAAAACCCAGTTATTGGACATTTTATATATTTTCACCAACACTAAAAATTGTGTTTTTATCAGAAATGAAAAGAGTTGCTCACTATAATGTCTAACAGACGCGTTTTAGCGGAGGAAACGTGCGTTAGCCCGATACAGTTAACCAGATATGTGAAGCCTGTCTTTGTTGCTAACGAAGCTGAAGTCAGCTTATTCACCAGCTGCTCGTTCGAAGTTCCCCGTTCCACCTTAAATGGTTCCACCTTAAATGAGGCTGCTGCACCGTTTAAGGTGGAACGGGGAAATTTGGACAAGAAGCTGGTGAATAGGAGGTCAACTTCAGCCTCTATACTTGCTGTACTCTTAAAAAGCATGGTTCTTAAAGGGTTCTTTAATAAATGGAATGGTTACATAGAACCATGAGTTCTGTAGAGAATCTTTTCATGCTTAAGTGTTTCTTTGCATGGTGAAATGGTTCTTCAGTTTGATGGAGAATGTGTTGTATATGGTTTTATATAACGTTAGAACCTTTTTGAAAATAGTTCTATGTAGCACCAACAAGGGTTCTTCTGTTGTTACAAGCTTGACACTGTGACAATAGTAGAACCCTTTTTGGTGCTGTATAGAACCGTTTTCAAATTGATGGAGAATGTGTTGCTTATGAAACAAAAAAAGTGGTTCTTTATAGCACCAAAAGGGTTCTTCTTTTGTTGCAAGCTTGACATTGTGACAGTAGTATAACCCTTTTTGTGCTATATAGAACCAAAGGTTCTTCTAATGCTACAAGCTTGACATTTTGACAGTAGTGGAGCTCTTTTTGGTGCTATATAGAACCAGAGGTTCTATTGTCATTACAAGCCCGACATCAGAAACAATAGCAGAACATTTCTGGGTGCTACATGGAACCATTTTCAAAACAGTTCTATATAAGATCATATCCTATACAGAACCATGGACTATTCTATTGTTACAAGCTTGACATTGTAAACAATGGCAGAACCTTTCTGGGTTCTATTTAGGATCATATCTTATACAGAACCAAGGGTTATTCTTTTGTTTCAAGCTTGACATTGTAAACAATGGCAGAACCTTTCGGGGTGCTCCATAGAACCATTTTCAAAAAGGTTCTATATAGAACCATTTTTGAAACGTTTCTATAAAGAACCACATACAACACATTCTTAATCTGTAGAAACATTTCACTGTGCCAAGAACCATTTAAGCATGAAATAGTTCTATATAGGACTCATTGTTCTATATAGAACCACTTTCTTCACTAAAGAACCCTTGAAGAACCCTCTTTTTTTGAGTGTGCAGGAGGATAAAGGATCATTCATGCCAGGCTGAAGTAACCTGGTTCATTTTTCTGTCTCAGTGCAGAAGCAGGAGGCGTGAAACGATGAGAACCCTCCGAGATGGCCAGGGAAAGAGCAGCTTTCTTTAGCCAGTTTGAGCAGGAGATCATCCTGAAGACCTTCGAGGAGTACAAAGCCATCATAACGGCTAAATGCAACACAGCGGCTGCTGCCAAATCCAGAGTGGAAGCATGGCAGAAGATAGCAGAGAGGCTAAATGCGTAAGTTCATTCTGGATGTCTTAAATATGTTTTTAGAGCTCATTATATTCCATTCAATTATGAGGTTGGAAGGGTAGGGATATTTAAAGGGGAACTCCACTGATTTTTCAAAAATTTGACGTAATTAAATGGTTGAGATGTAAACAGAGTCATTCAGAGTGGTTTGGTGTGAAATGCTCCATTCTAGAGAAACTTACCAAGTCAGAATTGTTTACAGTGGTGGTGATAGGAACCAGACGTCTACCTCTAAAAGCTCCCTTACAGAAAGTCATTACATGTAATGGTTATGAATATGCTGCATGATGTCTGGTTGCTTTGTGATAGATTTGTGCTAACATTTTGGCTTAAGATGCATTTTAATCCATTTATTTTAATCCATTCATGGTGGAGGAGTACACACAGGCTGTTGTGAGACAAAATAGTGCCCCAAAGAAAACATTTTTTTTTTAGATTCATGACTGTTCAGTCATGACATCATCAACATTATATGCATCACCACCACTGTAAAGAAATCAGAACCTGATATCAAAACACTCTGAATTACTTTATTTAAGATCAAGAGACCCTTACTAGTCCCACAACGGGGAAATTTCACCTCCGCAATTAACTTATCCGTGCAGTGAAACACCACATACACACTAGTGAACACACACACTAGGGGGCAGTAAGCATACTTGCCTGGAGCAGGGGGGCATCCCAATCCGCAGCACCCGGGGAGCAGTTGGGAGTTAGGTGCCTTGCTCAAGGGCACTTTAGTCCTGTACTGTCGGCTCAGTGGATTGTGCCGGCGACCTTTCGGTCACAGGGCTGGTTCCCTAATCTCCAGCCCACGACTGCCCCCAAATCTCTGTACATCTCAACGACTGAATAATTCCGAAATTTTGAAAAATTGGTGGAATTCCCCATTAAGAAACAGGAATTATTAGTTAGCTGGATAATTTAAAACAGAAGTCTTGAATCCTGAGTTCTTAAATCTATCTGAGGAACTTCGAACTGAGGAATGTCAAATATGTGGACAAGAAACTGTCAGATGCAAACGTTTAAACACTCCCAGTCAAATGATGTTTTGTTGATTTTGCCTATTTTAGCACACATTTTCTATGTTTTCTGCAAAGTTTAACAAATTTGAAACAATAAAAACGTAGAATTTAATATATGCCATAACTTTTGCACAGGCCACATTTTACATTTCATATTTTTCATCATGTAAAATTCAGCAAGTAAACAGTAATTATGCATCAGACTGTGCAGAAGTGTGTTCTGTATAGTGGATGTTCAGTTAGAATGTCAACAAAACAAGTAATTTCACCCAAACTGTCTGTTCCTCCTGCTGTAATCATTTCTAAAGGCACAACATTTCCAACAGTTCTTGGCTGGTATAACATCGGCTGCACCAGATACTGTAGTGAAACTGTAGTAACTCCTCTGTGTTTTCGTTTGCCTCGTTTTTAGCTCCAACCCCAATAATGTCAAAAGGACCTGGCAGCAGGTCAAAGTCAAATACAAGAACATCGTGCAATGTGGTAAGTGTTTCCATTTTCTTGGCGGAGTTCTCTGTGAAGCAGTTGATGTGAAACGCGTGCTCTGATTTCAGCAAACAGGAAGAGGGCGCAAAAGCAGATGCTGAGTGGGGGGCGGCTACCTGCGTCTGGCTTTACCCCTGCCGAGGAGCTGGCGCTTTGGCAGATCAGAGGGCGGCCCATGATGGATGGCATCGCTTGGGCCGGTTCGTCTGAGCAAGCTGGCTTAGGCGTCAGGAGCCCCAGTTCCACAGGTAGTTCACTCATGCCTAGCATAGCCCTTTAGAACATGAGAGCAAACGAGGGCTGTACGTGTTGTTTATTCATTGTTTAAAAAGCAGGAACGGTTCTATATAGTCCCAAACAAAGGTTCTGTGAACAAAGTGGAACCCTTTTTGGTGCTATATTTTTAAACAGTTCTTTGAAGAACCACAAACACCAGGTTTACAGTAGATATACAACTGCAAAGAACAAATTTTGCTTTCAAATTAGGGGTGGGCGATATGGCAATATTTTATCATTGTAAAAAATTATGTCACAATATGCTTTTCTAAGCATATCAGGGATATTTGTCAGTACTTTAATACCGCTTACTACATGTTATCACAAGTGGCGAAGTAGGCTTGTCTGAACAAATATTAATCACAGAATCAGGTGCTATTTTTTTTTTTTGGCCAAAAGGGGGAGCCACATCACAAGTGTTTCTGAGTGTTATGCTTCCCACCAAGCCTGAGAAGTTTGCAAGTGCAACATCATAAATCACTGATTGTCTGATTATTACCAATTTGAAACATATGCACAAAATGACGTATTGAGAGTGTATTATAAATTAATATTGATTATATTACTCAAGAATCACAATACCTGCAAGTTTGGAACTAGTTCCTTATTGGTCCGTACCAATATTTTGTCTCAAAAAAATACATGGGCCTCGTGGCTCACCATGTAGATATCTGCCTTTGAACACTAAGGTCATGGGTTCGATTCCCTGTCATAAATGGGGGCTGGTGCTGTATAAGTTCTAGTGGACATATCAGTTAACGATCTTAATCATAAGAAATGGAGGTATTTCTAAAAAATCTAACAGTTTGCTGCCTTCTACGACCAGAGGCCCTTCATTGGCCCTTCACATAAGCCACCATTGACCTTATGGTGCTTGGATCCCGCAGATTGCCGCTTGCAGCTATATTTCTTCTTCTTCCTCTTCTTTTTTTTCTTCTTCTTATTATTGTTATTATCATTATTATTTTTATTATCATATTTATTAGATGTAGCACAACAGGTTCTATTTTGTCTGTTTCAGCTTCTTAAATCTCAGAAAAAAACGAAAAATCATAATGTCTGATGTGTAATGAAAATGTCTTGAAGTATCATGATTTAATATTTTTGACGTATTTTCCACCCCTATTTCATATAATTAAAAATCTGATTGAAATCAGATTAACATAAATTGTCACAGTTCTATATACATCCACTGCCTTTGTTAAAGAGCCCTTGAAGAACCACTTTTAAGGTGTATTGCAATATTGGCTTTACTGATATCGCAGGAGGCTGCAGCATGCAAATGAGTCCTCTGACAAATCACATTTATTATTGTATACAGTGCACGTCTCAGACCCTTTCAGTGGGTCTTTTGATGAATCAATTCACAGCATCCAACAAAGGCACATTTTAATCAGAACAAGGCAGGCCAATCTTACATTATGTCACATCAAGTCTGCAGACACCGACGTGACTGTAATACACTGTAAGGTGCATCACTGTTGCAGTCAGTGGAGTTCTAACTGCTATCTGATGTGTTTTCTCCATACTGGGCAGCTCTAGAGCTCATGCACAATGATGTTAATTGCTGTGAACTGTTGTTTTGTAAATCTAACAGTCTTGACTGTTGAATTGTTTTGCAGAAGCAGAAAGTTCAGGCCCTCTTATTCAGCCAGTGCCAACCATTATCGACAGTGCAGAAGAACCAATTGATGTAAGACGATGTTGCTCATTCTTTTTTCATGTAAAGCCTCAGTTGAGATTTTGCTCTTAACACAGATGTTCTGTTTGTTGGCAGCACTCTGATTCAGACCATGATGAGAAGAACATAGTAGTGTGTTCTCATTCTGAAGAGGTAATATTTAATGTTTTTAGTGGGTGGGGGTTCACACTGTGCACATTTATGAGGACAGAGGCACATTTTTCCTTTTCAATGGGACAGATGTGTTTTGCTTGCTCTTTAATGCACCATGCTTAGGCACCCTGAGTTGGAAAAAAGTGGAAGAAGTCAAGTGGCCTGTGTCATAAACATAGTTTTAACCCCTTAAGTGGCCAGGCCCCACCAGCGGGCCTAAAATTGTATTACACATCTTTGTAACTTTAAATAATAAGCCTTAGTATGCAATAAGCCTGAGATTTTAAGGGGTTAATCTGTGCTGACCAATTGGATCAAAAGAAACTGGAGCTTTCAGTGACGGTTGTGGTCATTTAGGACCCAGAACCGCCTGATTTCATGAAATAAAATTATTCTAAGGCCGCATTCACACCTATCTTGTTTGGTGCGGACTTATAGAACTTTTACTTTAGTTCGGTTTGTTATTACAGGTGAGGGAGGTCAACATCAGAGCTTTTTTATCTTCTTCTAGCAGCACATCAGCACAACTGTCCTCAGTCTGCCAGATTTCACCTCTCACTTTTCATAGAAGCTCGTATTGTCCCTTCCACTAATAACGGCGGATGAGCAATAAAATAATGGCAAAACAATACAATGTGCATCAGCAGCGACCTGATTGCTTACACTCAAATTGACAAACCAATCATAAGTAGATATCAAGTAAAGTTTATGATTGTTGCTTTGATTGTGATACGCATACCTTAGGTGTCTGTATTTTCTATTTTTCTATTTTCATGGTGAAAAATATGAAAGTAACAGAGCAACAAACCGCCACTCGTGTAATTTGGTGCATTTTAGCTGTTGTAATGTGAAACTAACTGAACCAAATTCTGATTCTGACTTCAGCAAATATATATAAATGTATTTATATAAATACTTTTTTTGCTTGTAGCGCCACACTTGCTAATTAAGGCATAATCCCATTTCATCCCTGACCCCTATCACTTACCCCTACCCTTTCGTTTTGCATGTTCACGCCTAGGGGTGGGGTGTCCGTATTCTTGTTGGAATAGAGGGATAGAGGAGGTGATCATTCAACATGGCCCTCCAATCAAAAAACACATTCCAATTTGCTGCAGACAGCTGCAAAAGGATGTCTATTGGCATGCTGGAAATGTCCGTCAAAACTGACTACGTCGGTTTATGTAAAAGCCATCAACGGCAACTGATGACGTGTAGGGTTCTGGCAGGGTTGTCCCATTTTATAGAGGAAGATTTCAACCACTACCCCTTATAACTCAGTTCCAAGGGTCAAAGTGACACTCAAAAACAAGGGGTAGGGGTAAAAATAGGAAATGGGATTGGGTCTAAAATGGTATCAGTTTCCAAGCATTTATACAGCTGTTAAAGCAATAACAGCTATAAACAGCGCTGAAAAAACAGTGGGAAACCTCAAGACAAAAAAAAAGACTTTTTTCCACTTAAAAAAAACCCTGTAATTTGAATCCCCCTTAAAGTTTTTTGCATAACTGCCAGATTACTACTCGGTTTACACTGGACTGAACTCTTTTTTTTTTTCTCCTCAGGGGAATGATGCTTTCACAGGCCATGAGGAACCTGGTCCTTCAGGCCCATTTCGACATGCTGATGAGGAGGTATCTTCATCTTCTTCATCATCTTTATTTATTTATTTATTTATTTATTTATTAATTATACAGTCATATGCAAAAGTTTGGGTCCCCCAGTTACACATCCTCTTCAACTTAAGAGTCATTTAGTAATTTCTGTTTAGTTTAACATACTGGGGAAAAAAAGATAAAACATACATACATAAAAATATGTCGTTTTTTTGTTTTTTTTTTTGGTTTGTCGTTTTTCAGTTTTTGACATAATTTGAAAATGCCTGTTGCTCTTTACATTGTGTGTAAATTTCGTGATGAATGGACCAAAAGAAACAGCCAAAAAGTACTTGGAAAAAAGTGTGGTTCCATTGACTTACATTAAAAGTAAAGTATATTTTTTCCTTCTCCTGTAAAGTTACCATTTTGGAGATGAGAGGTTTTCTTCCGACAACAGCGATGTGTGTGTGTGTGTATGTAGGTATATATATATATATACATATATATATATATATATATATATATATATATATATATGTATGTATGTATGTATATGTATATGTATATGTGCATATATGGTGCTATACAGAACGCTTTTCAAAAACCATCTGCAGCACACTCTCCATCAATCTGAAGAACACTTTTACGATGCAAAGAACCCTTTAATCATGCAAAGGTTCTTTGAGTGTTCATGGGTCTATATAGAACTATTTTCTTTACTAAAGGACCCTTGAAGAACCATCTGTGTTAAGAGTGTACATTAAACTGAATGTGCAGTAGTGTGTTTGTTCACTTATTTTCACTTACAAAGTCAACAGAACATTTGACCCAAACTTATACTGCAGTTCCCTGATGCCAGTTTAATCCTGATGCTGATGAAAACGTTGCCTTTTCAGAGTGATGAGGACGTGACCTCCCTGTACAAACGGTACCTCAGACAGGAGATTGCATACCGGCAGCTAAAGATGAAGAAGCTGGAGAAGGAGATACAGTTACTCGATAAAAAGCTGGATGTAAGTTAGACCCAGTCAGGTTTCCTCTGAACTCATAACTAGAATAAGTTACTAGAATGCATCACCAAAGTCAAAGGGCAATCCCACCCATTTTTCAAAGTTTCTTCTTAAGTAGAAAGATATGCAGATACCATATTGTGTCCTGAGATATGTAAGGGATGCCTCTGCGACAAGCATAACAATACAGGGTTCTCTGAAATAAATTTTTTTTTATCAGCATGACGAAACTTAAACTGCATACTGGCCGCTGCAGACATGCACCTATTTTACTGTTACTTACAATGGAAGTTGCGTGTTAATGAATGCTGTGAGTCGATCCCTTCGAAATGAATGGAACAATGGAATCCTGAGTAAAAAAAATGTTTTTATAATTTTAGTTTTTAGATTTTTAAATATAAATCAGTTTAATTTAAGCTTATAATTTAGTTTCTTTCCCCTGAAAAGTGAACAAATGAGTTAAAAAAGAAGTCACTGAAAGTGCTAATATGCTCTGGATATCCTTTCCGTTACTGTGGACTGTTATGTATGGAATGATTCATCGGTTATAGCCTGGTGATTATGTTACACCTGTACTGTATTCTCTATTATATAGACTTATTCACATTTTGTAAATAATGTTAAATAATTTTTTTTAACACTCAACAATTCACTAATAATTTTGTGCAAGAAGCTAATTAGCAAAATGCAAGTGAGAAGCTGTATTGAAGTTTATTCTTGCACTACAGTAAGTATGGGTGATCATGACCTGCGAGTTATTCATAATCAATAAATGATTCATACGAATGAGTGTTTCGACATTTGTATGCTGTGATGATTCTGCACAGTCCTTTCAGACGCGTTCCCAGGATCACGGCTCTCATTCCGTATTTGTAAAGACGAGGTAGGTGTTTGGTCAGACCTTCAGTCTAAGTTAGTTCAGTCTGACCCTGGATCTTCTGTCTCATGATTGTGGGTCACTTTTTACAAATTGCATGCGGAGTTCGGGATTTCTGATCATAAACAGCTCTTGGATCCATCATTTTCCGAGCTGCTGAGAAATCAGAGATGTTTGTGGTGTCAGTCATGTGAAGAGTGCTGCTTTTTAGCAGAGGAAGCAAATCATACTACATAGACGTTAAGAATATAGAGCAGTTATTACTGCAGTAAACACTAATGCGCTGATATTGATGACAGTGTAGCTTTTATCATTATGAATGCTTTACTTTAGATTCCCCATGTTTTGCGCAATTGGTTGTTCGTCATAAAGGTCACACTTTCATGTACACGCACAAGAGGATTGATCAGAGCCTGAGTATCTAAATCTAAGAGAAACAGAGAAAATTGTTAACTGCTGTTGTGAAATGAGTCAAACACATCCGTGTTTTTTAGGTTTTGTGAAGCTGAAACTTAGAAACCCTGTTTAAGTTGAACCTGCTTTGTGAGTCAGACCTCTGGAGCTGTGTGCTTATTTTGAAACTGCGGGGCCTGATGGAACCGCAGCTCATTTTACAAAGGCAGTTTCTCTGTTAATCCAGTTTTAGATTCTCAAGGTGGATTATCAGAGACAGAGGGGTCCACCTCTGTCAGAAAGCTGTCCCCGATTGGTCCAAGAGCTATTTATGATGCGAAATCCAGAAGGGGATGTGGCCTGGTAACCGTTGTCAGACAGAAAATGAAGGGTTAGATCGAGCTAAGCTTAACTAGGGCTGAAAGATTAATCGTTTTTATATTGAAATTGCAGTTTAACCCCTTAAAATCCCAGGTTTATTACATACTAAGGTGTATTATTCAGTAACTACAGGGATTTCAGTGCAAACAGGCTGAACTGTTCTTAGGTTAAACAAGTGTGTAATAAAACCTGGGGCCTGCTGGTGGGCCCTGGCCATTTAGGGGGCTAACACAATCACTAGAGCTGAATTTTTATAAAATTATAGCCTACTTTATCAAAGGTGTTGTTTTAAGTGGAGAAAGTTAACATAATTACACAGAGTTGTGACAGCCACAACTAAAGCCCAATCCCATTTCACCCCTCGCCCCTACCACTCAGCCCTAAGCCCTCCGGTTTGCACGTTCACATCTAGGGGTAGGGTGTCCCGATTCTTGTTGAGATAGAGGGGTAGGGCGAAGTGTTGGGGCTACATGACCCTCCAAACGGAGGTTTTTCAGAGACTCCAAACAAAAAGTTATGAGAAAAAAAGAAAAACCGGCAAGTTGGCTGAACAAGAGACCAAAGAAACACACAGATGTGAGAATTTTCTCTATTAAAAATTCGATAACCACTGTTTTATCTTAGTTTAATATCTTTTCAACGTATTTTGGTCCTTTTCTTAATAAAAAGCATAAAATAATCGCTAGTAGTGCTAATGTCTCGGTAGCTAGTTAGCTAAATTTCCCATTCCACCTTAAATAGTCCAGCAGTTCTGACGCCTGAAGTGCCAGAATGTAACTGCTACACCATTTAAGGTGAAATGAGAAAATTTGAGCAAGAAGCTGGTGAATATCTGACTTCAGCTTCATATCACTGAAGAATTAGGGGTGGGCGATAATAAATAATTGCCCCCTCTTTGAAGGCATATGATTCCCTAATTGTAACTAAAGCCCAGCAGTGAGGAGCTGAACTTTACCCTCCTCTGCTGTCACTGCAGACTGGCAGGGTCGCCTACAGAGCAGCGCTAGTAGCTGTTAATGAAGTAATGCTCTTTTTATTTGAGGGTCCCATTTCATAGGGGAAGATTTCAACCACTACCCCTTGTAACTCAGTTCCAAGGGGCAAGATGACACTCGAAAACAAGGGGTAGGGGTAAAAATAAGAAATGGGACTGGGCCCATTTTTTAACAGTGTGCTGTATTGTCTATACAAACTGCCTGTTTTTACATTTGACTCTTCACAGACACTCATCATTCTTGAGGCATGAGTTGCTGCTAATAATGTTAGATGAGCCAGAAAATAATAGTAACTGAACTAACTGTTTTCTCTTTCACGTCAGCGTCAGAGAAAAATGATTCACTCGCCTCGGGCTCTAAAAAGAAGCAGTTTAAAGTTAACTTTTAGACCCTGACAGCTGTTCCTTTGCACGTTGCCATCATTACTAATTAAATGAAACCGATCGTTGGTTATAAGTGGCTTTTTTCCTCCTCAGATCCCCGTGGTTTGTTCCCTTCCTGAGGCCATTCCCGCTGGAGGGACTTTCCACACTGAATCACTCTTTCTTGACTAATGTCATTACTGCACCACAGTTGAAGGCCTTTCATTATCTACCCGGTTACATAAGAGCGGAGAGTCAGAACAGAAGGCAAGATTAGTGGATTAACTTTACCAGAGAGAACACAAACACAGATCAGGAAGTATGATAGACGTTAGGCCATTCATGTGTACACACGGTTTTCAATGACTTAATCTATTGACCCTCCTATTACGTTCGCAAATCGGTTACATCATTAATGTTTGCGGGTCACTTTTGACCATGTATGGCTAAATCACATCTAAACAGTCCTAGAACGTGTTACAGTTTCATTTGACCCTACTTGCCAACTGCTGACCCCTCAACAACTTGGAGATTAACTTAGTTTATTAGTGATTGTGCAATGCTTTGCACTTTGCACACTACTGTTTTTCAATTCACATGCTTCATCTTATTATTATTATCATTATTATAATTTTTATTATTTTTGTGGCAGATTTTTGCTGCTTTTATACATTTTAAAGGTGCAGTATGTAAGATTTAGTGGCATCTAGTGGTGAGGTTGCAGATTCCAACCAACTGAATCCCCCTCCCTCACCCCTCCCTTTCCAAGCATGTGGTAGAACCTACCTTTTCTCCCGTCGCCTGTCCTGGTTTCATTTTGCTTCTTCATGTTTTCGCTTCTTTGACAATGAGGTTTCACCCTCTCTCGCTGCTTTTTCTTGTGCTAAATAATAAGTCTGGTCCTCCATTTGTCAAAATTTGGGTTCTCAAACTTTTCACAACACAAAATGGTCAGCCAGCGCTGGCAGCAACCACGGATTCTTCTTTCTGCGTCTTCCTACCGGAGCTATAGCACCACAAAATTCAAGCTGCTATGTAGATGTCTTTACACTGTTAGAAATAAAGGTTCTGTTTAGGTACATTTTTCGTTCATCAAGGTACAAACAGTGTAAATGTTCCCTCAAAGGTACAACAGTGGTTTTAAGGTCTGATTGTGAACCTTAAATAAGTTTTTCCAGGTGAAAAGTTCGTATTTGTACCTTTTCATAACCGAATGTTTTAAAACAGAACAGTAAAATAAAAGCCTGGAGGCGAGACGGGGTGTGTGGAGTCAGTACAGCTTAGAATATATAATTTTAATGGATTATGGTACAGTTATGTTCCCTGACCAAAGGTACTGAGATGAACCCTTGAGGGTTCCACCCCAGTGACAGATTCATAGCTTTTTTTCCTGAGAGTGTATAGCCAGTGTTTGGTTTGTCCATTCTGGCCTGCTGTAGAAACATGGTGGTGCAACGTGCCGGCCTCTGTTGGAAAAGGAGCCACTCCATATGTAGATATGAAGGGTTCTAAATGAATGAAAACACAACAATTTGTAGTTACAGGTGATTATACACTAATGAAAACATGGTTTGTCTAATTAAGCCCCCTAAATAAAGGTTGAATTTAAGGGCTGAATTACACCTGTTTTTATACGCCAGTGCTGAAGAGGAAGTTAGATTTTATGTCAGTTAAATACATTCTAGTCTATTCTATTCCATTCTATTCTAAACTTTCAACAGCTAATGTATTTCATAGTCTATTCAAGTAATATTGAGGTGATCGAGCTCCTCAGGCCATCAGAGAAGTATAGTTATGCCCCTCACAACCACAAGAGGGCGACAGTTGTCTTTGTCTCATGTCTCTGCACTACAGTCTGACTCTGAAGGAGCAGCTACAATTTGTCATTGACTTCTTTCGGGCCTCCGTTCACGTTCTACTGTTCTGCACATTCAAAGGTAAGACTTCAATGAGCCCAGCATACTTAAAGGGAAATTCCACCAATTTTTTAAAAGTTCTGCACTAAATGGTTAAGATGTGATTGAGAAAACCTGCACTGTTTAAGAAAGTAAGCTCTTAGTTGTTCCAATCTGATCACAGAAACTACCTCACACTACAGATCTGACCTGCAGAGCTACAGTCCAGCTAGAGGTGGTGCAGAAACACTAAAGACCGACAGTTTAAAACCACACAAACATCGTAAAACCACATTAACATTTTATTTTTCAAGAGATAACGGATGATAATGTTTTTTAAGACAACTTAAAATAAAAACTGACCTACTCTACTACCCTACTCTGTTAGCCAAATTAAAGGGGAATTCCACCCGTTTCTCAACTTTTCTGCATAATTAAATGATTAAGATGTAAACAAAGTCATTCAGAGTGGTTTGGTGTGAAATGCTCTGTTCTAGAGAAACGTATAGAATCAGAATTGTTCACAGTGGCGGTGATAGGAACCAAACATCCACCTCTGTTGGAGACATCGTTTTACAATATTTTTATGATAAGGTTTTTGTCTGAAGCCATTTTTTAAAAATTGCCCTTTAACAGCTGTATACAGTGGGTATAAAGTATGATAATTGCCAAACAAACTCCACATATAGGCCTACTACAAAAATAATTAAGCTGTAATGCAATACTAATAAATATTTCATAATCGCTTTACTTAAGCATAGTTTATTATCTGCACTGTCTGACTGTCGATAACGAGCCTTTCATTGTAGAAAACACTTCACTGCAGAACTGAGGCGCTACACGCAATAAATGCAGAAATGAAAGAGGCAAAGCGGCTGTTTA